AAAAATTACCTAATCCTCATTCTAATATAATACATCACAGTAAATTAAATTACATCCCTTTCATGACTTGGACATAGGAAATTTATTGCATTCAGACATCATATCTGTGATGATGAGTTTAAATGCATGCGTGAATGAAAAAATGTTTTATGAAACTATATACAATACTCTCCCGCCTTAGTACTATCATTGGATGGCCTCTTCAATTCATGTATTTCATGTGATTAGTATTAGTTAATATCACTTATGCTTATTGTACCATGCGTACAGATTGTATTACCTTATTAAAAATAAAAAATAAAAAAATATACAATATTTTTTGACGAAATCAAAAATTAAATTGAAAAGTTCCTTAAAGAAACTACAAGTTTGGAAACTGCATGTAGAAAAAAAAATTTAAAAATTTTTCCTTTAACTTTTGATATAGATCCACAGAGTGACATAATCGCTCAACTAATTTTAAATCATCTCACAGTACTTGAGGACAGTATGGCATAGTATTTTCCCCACCTCTCAGTTAACAAATATGATTGAGTGCGCAATCCTTACACTACTTCGTCAGAATCAACAACTGACCTATCTCTTGAGAAAGAAGAACTTCTGGCAGAAATTAAGGAGGATAGAACACTAACACTGAATTATTATGAACTAATTGTTAGTAGTAACCATCGATAGTAACCATCGAAAGGTAAAGTCTTGTAGACATTTTATGAGTTTAGAAAAGAGCTGTCAAGACTCTTTAGTGTTGAAAAACCAGACTTGGCTTCATATTTGAACGACACAAAGGGGTGTGCCAAAGTAGCTTACTTGGCTGATATATTTTATCATTAAAACTGCTTAAATGAGAATATGCAAGGAAAAGAAGAAAATGTCCTAATCTCAAGTGATAAATTGAAAAGGTCCTTAAAGATACTGCAAGTTTGAAACTGCATGTAGAAAAGAAAAGTTTAAAGATTTTTCCTTTAACTTTTGATATAGATCCACAGAGTGACATAATCGCTCAACTAGTTTTAAATCATCTCACAGCTCTTGAGGACAGTATAGCATAGTATTTTCCCCACATCTCAGTTAACAAATATGATTGAATGCGCAATCCTTACACTACTTCGTCAGAATCAACAACTGACCTATCTCTTGAGAAAGAAGAACATCTGGCAGAAATTTAGGAGGATAGAACACTAACACTGAAATATTATGAAATAATTGGATGCATAGTTAGAAAATAACTAATTCAATTTTGGATGTATGCAAAGACAGAATATTTTGTAATAGGAGAGGAAGCAATCAACTAATGAAGAATACATTTGTTCAGAATAAACTTGTGATGTTACAAGTATTCCAATCACTAATGTATTTCAACATTTGTTTAGATAAATGTCTTATAAAAAGAATTAATTGATTTTTAATATTTAATAAAATTTTGCATATAACAATTAATAATAAATGTTTTACAATATTTTGTTACATAACAGTTAAATATTATATTAGACATTAAATTATTTCAGCCTTTGTATAATTGTGTTCAACAACTTCATCAAATTCCCAACCTTTTTCTTCAATTATTTTATTAGTTTTACATTTAAGTTTTCAACTAAATTTTACTTCTTTGGTTTATAGAGATACCTATTTATCCTCCTATTCACACCTACATGTCAAATATATTTACTGAGCAAATAGCATTTCCTAATTTATCAACAATATCCTTTGATCTTTCAACTACAACACTTAAGCAATTCATGGCTGCGTAAAGAATAAAATTTATAATCTACAAAGCTGCATAATAATTAAAATAGTTGAAAAAATTTGATAGTTAGAAGTTATATTTGATATTAACTTATGATGAAATTTACGTATAAATAATTTATTAATGAATTTATGTTTCATTACTTTTAAAATGGTTTAACTCAAAAACTTAGTACCAAAACAAACAATGAAAACAGTTTACTATACACTTTATCAATCAAACTTTCAATATGGCATATTAGTATGGGGAGGCCTTTGAGATAACATTTTAAATGCATTTGTAGTTAATCAAAATAATATAGTAAAGGATTTGTCTAAATAATTTCACTCTGCAAAGATCTATGAATGCTAACTATAAAGAATTTGGTGTATTGCTTTTAAGGTTTTTATATAAAAAATTCCAATTGTGTATTTGGTTAAGAAATTTAATTTAAATAACGAACAAATGGAGGTAAGCAACAAAAGGGAAATGAAAAAATAGGATTTGATTGTTAAATATGCGAGAACTTCTTTCAGTCAGCGTTTTGTAGACTATCAGGGTCCAACTTCTTTCAACTCTATGCCCTATGACTTTAAAAAAAAAAAATACTTGGTAGTGAAATTGTAAATATTAAACATTTAATTAAGGATTTGCAGTTGTATAACCCAATTTTTTTTCATTATTTTTTATTTATTGTACCTATACCTATAGCACATATTTTTGATTTGTTTTTATTTAATTATTTGCCTTTAACATTGTTATTTAGAAAATAAGCTAATATATATATTTCTAGAGTTGTTTCAATATGTATTTAAAATTTTAATTTTAATTTTTTTTTTTTTTAATTTAAATATATTTACACTATGCTCTTATTTATTATATATATATATAGATTTAGTAGTAATCATAGATCCTTATCTCCAACATAAGCTGCATAAGCTTACAGGAGGTAAGTTAATCAATTTTGTAGCAAACTTAATTTTGATGTAAATTAAATGTTTTATTTTTGATATCTTGATAAAAAAAAAAAAAAAAAAACCTAATTATTATTATGTAATCCTGAAAATGTTTTTCACAGATAACCTCGTTAGCATTAAAATGACTCATCCCTAAAGATTGTAGCCATTTTCCTTCAAATGTTTATCTTTAGGGATATTAAAAATGGAGAGTTTCTCCGGATTGTTACATTGAAAGGAACGCATTTTATTTTGCATTTTCAAAATGTACCTACTTTAGTTAAAATAAGACACATCATAAATCAAACACCAGTAGACAACATTATGCAGTTTGCATAATTGTTAGAGTTATCGATTATAACATAAATCGATATAATATAAATAAAACAATAATATTATGATATAAAAATCCAACCTCAGTAATTTCAATAATTTTTTTAGCGGGCTTTTCCTAACCTCAAAATAAGTCTACCCGACAGCTCTTTTGTGGCAACACGGGAAACGTTTTTTCCTCAATAAACGGAAATATTGCAATAGGCAGGAGGGTAGGATGTTGTTCGACCTTATCTTCTAGGACCGTGATTCAGCATTAAAATACAATCCGGTGGGTGGAGTTTCATTTCGGTGATAGAAACAAGTGAGAGAATAAAGAAAGTATTTTAATTGGCTGTCCTCGGAGTGCAAATTTGCTCTCTATCACACCATACTTTATATCGGCCTATCCCTCTTGATCCGTTCAGTCCGACCACGCCTCCCAGTCCTCGGAGTGAATGTTCCGTCTGCATGTATAACTATGCACGTAATGCTCAACACGTCCTAGGCGTCGAACGTAAAGCCAATAATTTGCAATTCAGTATTTTCGGATTATAAACGGTCTCCGTCGTTGTAACAGTTAACTCTGGTAATGCATAATCGAATTTTATGAAACAATTTAGTCATTAATCAGTGTACGGCGACAGCGAAAATGTCGCACCCAGACACGGAGACTGTCGTCTTTACGCGATTAACGTAAGATGTACAAAATCCTCACGACCGTCATGGGCCCGTCCAAATTTACCGGTTTACGTACATAATATAGGTAAGGAACACGTTATCACTACTATTATTATCACGTCGGCATCATGACGTTATCACACATTCACACGATTTCGCTTCATCATCGTAAATCATGTTTCCGACGTATAATTTTTATCCCGTCCTTGGTCATCGCATATTCTGTAGGAATTTTAGGAAACGCGTTTTGTCTTGTATACACTATAACTGTGATATGAGATGACAACAAATTTAATGTATTGGTAAGTTTTCCCTAGAATATTAGTTATTAACCGCATATCCGTTCAACCACTGGAAATTAGAATTCCGTTAACTGTTAAGAGACTACAGAACCTATATCGTGACCGTTGCATCCATCTCGTGAGTACTTATAATAATAAATGATATGGCAATATGTACAATTTCAATAACCCCAAATGTCATATTGTATTAACGTGTTATAAATATAAGTTAGTTATTTTTTGAATTTAATATTATAATTTTGCATTGTAAACGAGCATAATTCACACCTTGAGTAATATTGCTTAGCAAAAGCATTTGTGAATGATTCTAATTTAATAACCCGGCCATTTATTTTTTCAAATGTTGTTTTGTGTATAGGTGCAAAATTCGTTTCTAATTAGAATTGGATGGAAATAAATACTCGTATACTTAGACTCTAAAATTAAAATAGCAAACTATTTTCACAATTAAACCATAACAAATTTCTTGAATTTTTCTAACTAACTAAAACTAATTTTAACCACCTATTAACAAACCTGGCATATTAATATATGTTATTTATTTTATGTTCATTTTTTTTTGTTAAAATTTAAAATTGAGCGAGAAAGAAAATAAATAATATTTTAAATACAACTAAGTAGAATAAACTTCAACTTACAGAAAAAAAAAATTATTTAAAATATTTATGTATCTTTTATATGCATAAAACAGAACTATTTGTATAAACATAATAAGAACAACATTACCCACAGCTTGTAGACAACACCTTGATGAATGTCAAGTTATTATAGGTAAGCACTAAACAAATACAGAAAAATAATTTTGTAAATAAAAATTACCCACTGTGTATTTATAATATCACAGTTGCCTATATTATTGTTTAATGGGATAGGTATTATGTATCTATTTATAGTCTCTTATGATATAAACTTTTCAGTGCACTGTACAAATATGGCAATATTTTGTATTTGTTAAATAAGAAATTTATTCTCTTATGAAAAGGATATTGATGTTCTTGTGTTATTTGGTAATATAGTGTTACAACAATGCAGGATTATATGTTGGCGATTGTGTCCAATACGTATGTGGCTAAAGCTGTTGGGCATCTGACCTGGACTCTAGTTTCAATAGCCTTAAATGAAACTGGGAACTTGGTCAAAGAGTATATTTGGCGCAACTATGTAACCGAGCTCGAAGTATCCAGCTCTGACAGGTGTTACCAGTGGCTGTTAGAATGGATAGCCATACATAATGACCAGCTATTACACTTTACTGTCACCACTGTATCTCGAGACTCCAATGCGATTTTGAAGTTCGAATACGAGCCTAATGCTGGCCAACATGTTTTTAAGTAAGAAGTAAAATATGCCATTTGTTTTTTGTGATTTGCTTAGTCTTGCTACCGATGTGTAGATACAAAGGTCAAACAATATTCTTGAAACGCAATCGTTCCTCATCAGTAACCAGTGAATACAACACCAGACCATTTGAGACGCTAAACTTGTCTACCTGGGGTCGTAAAAAAAAATTGCTGAATGAAATCCTAGAAGAGGGTAATTAGATAGACTATTATATTGTTTTTATTTTGCAATTCATCTAATACAATATTATAACTCTTTAGCTAGATTATACGCTTTATCCAAGATGGAATTGGGCACTATATTAATAATGGTGCCTTCATATGAAACATGGCAAACTTTTGGAGAACCCCGTGTGCCCCGGTCAAAGTCATCTGTCATATTAGACAATGGTGTCTTTGAAACCATATTGGAAGACTTGCAGTATTTCATGAAAGATCAATCTTGGTACACTGAAAAGGGCAAGTTTATTAGTTATTGATTGTATTATACAATTAGAGAAAGTGATGAATAAATAAGTTTTTGGTCAAGAAAGTGGCTTGAAGAATTTATCCATTGATGGCACTATGTAAAATGTGACTAAATTTATATGGTTTAACAGAATTAAAGATATTTGTGTTTTAGGAATACCATATCGTAGAGGTTACCTGTTGTTTGGGCCACCTGGTTGTGGAAAGACATCACTAATAATGGTGCTGGCCGGTGAAATAAAATATAATTTGTGTGTGTTGAGTCTTAATAACTCACAAATGTCTGATGATCAACTTATTAAATTAATGGGAGAAGTTCCGCGCAATTCATTAATACTCTTGGAAGATATAGACGCAATGTTCACCAGCAGAGTCCAGAAGTCAGTCATTGGTTTGTATTAAGTATAAAAAATTTTAAATCATACATTTAAAATAATTATATAGTTAAAATTCATCACAGAAAGCAGTTCCAAAGTAACGTTAAGCGGTTTGCTAAATGCTATTGATGGTGTAATGTCATCTGAATGTCGAATAGTATTTATGACAACCAACTATGTCGACAGGTAAATACAATTCCTAGTATTGATGAGAATGAATAATAATAACAAGAATTTAATATTGATTATAGAGTAGATTCTGCATTGATCAGAGCCGGCCGTGTTGATTTCAAACAGTACCTCGGACCTTGTTCAAATTATCAATTGTCAAAGATGTTTACTCGGTTTCGTCCAGAAGGAACTGATAATGATGTAAAGAGATTTATGGACGTAATAAGAAGCCAGAATAAACCAGTAATTCCAGCTCATTTACAAGAATTTTTTTTAATGCACCGGCATAAAGAATTAAATTCCATGTTTGAACATATAGACGATTTATGGCAGGATGTGCAAAACATTCAATTAACAGAGTAACAATAATAATATTTATAATATTAATTTTAAAAATAATAATAATAATAATAATAATAAGATCATATCTTATGTACAGAAAAATACTAAGTACATAAAAAAAAACCAATGTTCAGTCAAATAGCAATCTTTGAGCACAATAAAAGAAAGTGTCATGAGTATTTAAAGTGGTTAGAAAAAGAATAACAACAATAATAATTAATTAACATAAAAAAAATGTATACATTTATCATCTTTTGGGATCAATTGAATATAATGCTATAGTTCCATCTAAAGCACCAGTAGAAACTATTGCTTTTTGAGGATGAAATTTTATAGTTGATAATGGAGAATGACGTGTGCTCAACCACTCAGATAGCTTTACTGAGTTTAACAATTGACCATCTGTGTTGTAGAACGTCAACATGTGATTCACATTACTGTTAAATATAAAAAAAATTAAAAACTAATATTGACAAAAAAAAAAAAAAATGCAATCAATATATTATTATTTACCATGCTAATATATTGCACATAGGGTGAATGTCTATTTTGTGGAGGTTCTCTATATGAAATTCTCGTTGAGATACATGTTGACCAAATTCAAAAGTTTTAATATCTCCATAAGCACTATTGAAATAAATTGTTTATTTTTACTAAAATACTATCATTATGTTAGGTTTATAAGTATTTACCTAGCAGATATTACAGTAGTATTTTGTAGTCTCAGGTTGAGTATTTTACTATGATTTCCTATAAAAGAAGCTATTTTAGCATCATGCGGTGACAGTCTTTTATCAAACACTTTAATTGACCCATCCTTACAACCAGTAGCAAATATATTACTTTCTATAACAAATAAACAACAATTTATTATTTTCTTATAAAATAATTGTATTATTCATAAACTAGTAGTAATTCATCATATTTGTCTTATTATACGTTACTGTATCCAACATTATTCTATTAACTTCAAACTGCACAGCATGAATGTGCAAGTGTAAAACCGACTGTAATGTTACCATCGATTCACAGTTAACACATTTTTAAAAATGTATATTATTATTTGACCCCAACGTAACATGGCAAAAAAAAAATACATAAGATCACAGATTTTTGCTATGAAAACTACCCTTAAATACTTCTTGACTTAATATCATAGTTCTTCACTGCTAATTGACTAACATGAGCATTGCTAAAAATAGCAAATAACTATGACATAAGTCAGGTATGGAGTAGAAGTGCACATTGAACAAACTGTGACATTGTGATCATATTTATCTATTTTGTCATTGAAATTATAATTATTAATATTCTGTTAATAAGTAGTAATTGGATTACCGTTCATCTGCATGGACAAACATGTTACTGAAGAATTAATCCCAGTGGATATAGAAGTCAATTTAGTTTCAGTCTCAATATCCCATATTCTGACAACACTCGAATCACCTGCACAAATTAAATGACAAGCCCTTTGATCCCAATGTAATGCCACTGAAAATGAAATACCCCATAATTTATATGTATTATTTTGGTTTGTATAATGTTTTTAGTACTTACTCGAAGAACTTTCATAACTAGGACTCTTACAAATAGGTAATGCATGCCAACCAGACACCAATTTATGCTGACCTTTAAAGCACTTAGACCAAACCTGAATATTTCCATCGTTAAACCCAACCAACACTAATGGAATGTCATGACTGTTAATTAGTTCTATAGCAGACACATGGGGATATGATCTGTATGAAAAATCTAATTTATGGCTTCGTTGAACTGGTGTCCATTGGTGTAACTTATAGCTAGTGTAGTAATCCCATATTCTATAATTTAAATGATAATCGTTCATTATAAAATAATATTCTTATGCTAAAATAATATTGATAAAAAAAAAAAAAAATACTGACGTTAGACTATTTTCACTACCCACAACAACATGTGGGTCATATGGATGGAAAGTTAATGAATTTGGAGTTTGATTACATTTCGATGAAAATATATGATTTTCTATTCTGTAATTTCCGCTATTAATTTTGTTTTGTTCTTCTTGTGCATCCTTGCGAAATGCCATATTTCGAGTGTACCTATCCAAATATATTTTAATTAATCAATTTAAGCTGTTTAGTAATTTTAATTTTCTTGTAAATATTCTATATTGTTGGTCACCTTGAAATGCGTTCAGAATGTAATGCGCTTTCAAAATCGCTAACTTCATTCATTCCACTCAATGGATTAGCAAAATTTTTTGATATCCATTCAAAAAATTGAGATTTCAATAAACATTTAGGTTTATTCAATATGTTTTTTTCATTATCAATTTCGATATTTGGTGGCGAAGATGATGAAGACAGAGCTTCTTCAATAATCTAATTGTACAAGAAATTTATAATTATCCTAAAATTAAATGATTTTAAATAAAAACATACAGTATTTGGTACAATTCTCGTGTTAGAGTTAGGCCTTGGTGTTATGGGAATTCTTGACCGAGAAGAAGGCATTTCATGTACAGATCGCGGTGGGGATTCGTCCTGTCTATAATTAACACAATAAACAATTAAAAATATTTTAAATGTGTTAATTAATTTATTAACTTACATTAAGTAAGTTCTTCCAGACGGAGATGCGGGTAAAGAATGTGTTGCACGATTATCTGGCTTATTTTTAAGCTAGTTCACACAATTAATATAAGTAAATATTGATTACAATAATATAATTGGTTACCAGACATTACTTACTTTTTGTCTAATATAATTAGTTAATTTATATGCGTTGATTGAAACGTCTGGGCATATATCATGCTCCAAAGTAGTTAAACCTTTCCATAACTTAGAATGAATATTGTTAAAAGCTGTAGTTGTTTGGTAAGTATCTAAATAAAATAAATTCCTATTGCATTAATATTCTAATAATTTAATGACACACATACCTAAGGTAGCTAATGATGAAGATGAATTTGTTCGCCTTAAATATTCAGACTTGGTTTCTTCTGAAAGGTCATCTGAATTGGCAGGTGACATATGAGGTGATATTACAGTCACAATTAAATTAGGTGTGTAGTGTTGAAGCTTCTCTCTAGAACCCATTCTCGATAAACTAGAAGTTGTGGAAATTGAACCTATAATCAAAATTATAATTACAATATATCATAATTCCTTAAAAGTTAGAAATTTATTTTTTATTCTTTTAATATACTTTTATATAGAGAATTATATGATAATTTTTCATTATTTTCCTGCATCACGATTTCCAGAAAATATCTCTCAAACGCAATTACAGTCCATTGTAGAGCAATTACAACTTCCTAAAATGTATTTTATTATGTGATATGTATTTCACAATAAAATAAAGTACTGAATAATCAGAAACTGTACTTACCTCTCTGACCATAGGACTCATGTCTTTGGCAGCAGTATTCAGTAGAGTTATGGCGATATTTTGATCAACACTTAATGCGTGATTGCTGCGATCCTTGTCACAGCTTACAAATGTACCAAGAGCAAACACTGCTGCTGCACGTACCTAAAAGTATAGGTAATTATTATAAGTATAGGAAAATTGTCCCTAACTAATCTTTAAATTGTTAATTACTTCGGGAATTTTATCTTCCAATAATGTATAAAGTTTTTCATGAGCAGTATCCCGTACACCCACCCAACGAGCTTTGTCATAATCAGCCCATAACTGCGCAAGACATAATGTCAACCATTGTTTATAAGGAGCACTGGCATTATCTAATTGTTCAAGACATATGCATACTAAATTGTTCTTAAGCCCAAGTTGTTGGCCGTTCCTATAGTTTTGCATTAGACGTGATAGTACTACAGTTCCTAACATCCTTTGTTCTTCCTAAAAATTAAAAAATCTTATAAAACAAGTCTATTTGATCACAAACACCAACTATTTTCTATTATTTTCTTTTTTGAAAAATGTTTATATAACTTTAAATTTTGATTTTTTTTTTAAAAAAAAACCATTATAAAAAAAGTTATTAAATTTCTACATCTAATTTAAATATTCTACATAATATAATATATTGTTAAATATTAAGTATTTAAAGAAATTACTATACAACAAAACAAAAAAAAATGTCATATTTATTTTGCCAATTTCCTTGATAAAATAAATATCTGTAATCAAAATTACACTCATTATAAAATGTTCATAGGTTATGTAAGTAAAGTTAGAAGAAATATATTATTAATTTAGGAGTGTTTTAAACTTACAGGCAAGTGTATATCTTCAACCAGTTGAAAAAAATACTTGAAACCATTTTCCCTAACAATATCAGTTTGGCAAGTCTAAAAATAAATTTGATTAAACAATTTGCATAGTTGTATTTATGATTATTAAAATTAAAATCTTACGTGATCCACAGCCATTATTTTGGCCCAAATAAAAGCCAACATTGGCCGCAGTTCAACAGCAAAACTCTGCAGTAATTTTAATATGTATGGAAATATTCCTACAGATAAGGTCAAATTTACAGCCCATGGTCCTAAATCTAAAAATCTACCTAATAAGTCTAATGCCCGAAGTCTGTGTGCTTGACTTAATAAAACCTATTTAGTAAATCATAAAACATGAATAAATAAATAAATTAGACAATATAATTTATTTAATTTTTAATTACTTGGAGTACAATTGGAAGTTGTTCCGGTGTACTGCGTTGTTGTGTAGGCAAACAACTTGTGTGATCAAGCCAGACTTCAAATGCTGTCAATTGTTCTTCAAAAAATGTTGTACGTACAAAGAAACCATCACCATGTTCTTGAACACGGTGCAACTGATACAAACACAATTCTAAAATATGATCCCATGCCTAAAAGAAAAAGGGTTGATTAGTGTGGTGTGACACTATTGTAGGCGGAATGTTAAGAAATTAGAATACATTAACTATATACATAACTTATGCCTGTACACAACAATAAATCGAAACAGAACTCGGTTAATAAATTCTTAAAAAAAAATTATACCAAACACATTAATTTATGAATAAAACAGCAGCACGGTTCAAATTACCACATTTACATGACGACTGCAACAACTTTAGCGCAATAAAAATCAATGAAAGTTTCTGATCACTAAAATTTCCGTTAACCTCTGTATAACGGTCATAAGAAACTTCTAAAAGACGGTCATTATTTCCAATACTTTTGCTGACTATTATATGGAAATTTTACTGTATCTGATTATTTTTAAGAATTTTTAATTATATTTTCTAGTTTTTCCCAGTTGTGAGGAAAATTAGAAAGATCTCTGACAAAAAAGTCAAATCATAGTAAAACCAATACATTCCATTCCTCGGTACATTCAGATTCTAAATGTTTTTATATATATTAATATGATTATTAAATACCTATTAATGGCCCAAGTATTTTCCAAGTATGACATACTCAAAAGTAAACAAAAAATTTAAGATATAGTAATATACAATATTAGGAATAATTTAGTTAACAGTAACTATTAGTATCTTATTAATACTTATAAGTTATAGTTATGCATAGTATATTTAAATCCAAATTATATTACGGCTAAAATATTTTTACATATTGCAATTATATTTTAATGTAAATATGAATTAAGCAACAAAAAAAATTTAAATTTTATTGCTTATAGAATATTCCCGGGCATTTTATAACACTAATTAGTACACAAAATAATAAAAAAAACAAGAGCAGAAGTCCTACATAGCAATAAGAGCCCTAAGGTATAAGAGCCCAAACTTTAAGATAGAGAAGTTTGAGCCTGAAACTGAAAAATAATTATTTCTAATTATGGTAATAATTATAGCAAAAACTTCAAAAGAGTAATAGCAAAGAATAATATTGTAAATAATTTAAACATTGTCTTTCGCACAGTGCAACAAAATATTTTACTGATTTAATTATTTAATATTCTAGTTTTTTCTGACCTTCCACATAGGGTGATTGTGCATTGGCGGCAATGTCGGTGATGATACTGGTTCACAATCATACGTTCTCATAATACGGTCTGCTAGCAAATAATTTCTCAGTAGACTCGCAACTAGTAAATCTTGACGAAATAATGTTTGAAAAGTATCTAACAACAAAAAAAAAATTATTTTTTCGAAATCTATACATAAATATTATAGTCATATTTCTAATCCTACCTCTAGGTAATATGTTCCAAGCTATTGTATCGGTTATAGCAGTAAACACCCAATTTAATTCTCCTAACATTGTTCGTCGATCATTTAATGTACCAGGGATTCTAATAAAAACAGATAATGGTTAAAGAATACACAAAACAAAATATGTTTAACAAATACTTACTTGTCTACAAGATCAAGATAAAATTTTGAATAATATTTAGCACTATTTTGCATTACAAACCTGGAAAAATATTTAATTATACATAAAAAAAAAAAACAATAGAGGCTACAATACCAGTCAGGGAAACATATTTTTCTTTTTAAAAATTTTCCCACTAGGGAATATTTATACAGAATAATATACAAGAACATTTTTTTTTTTTTTTTTTTTTTATTTATATATGATGACATGATTGAGGACATAATAGAGGACATCTCTTCTTATGACACTATCTAAATTTAATAAAAAGATTTTGATCAAAATTACAGAAAACGTATGCAACAAAAAACCCTGATAATGACAAATTTATTTTTATTTAATCTTATTTCTTTTATAGTAAAATGTTATCGTTTTTCTTGATTCTCTTACAAACCAAGAAAAATAACTCAAAAATGTAAAATATACTAATTATTATCTAAAATTTGAAGAGTAGAAATGTAAAATTTATTTATGTAGCATTCAAATCGGAAATACAAATACTTGAATAATTGAACTTAGATAAACAAAATATAATCATTTATGAATTATTATGTTGATGTTATCCATTTATATAATTTATAATTATGCTTATATTAACCTACTTAAATAAATTCCATATGCCCTATCTATAATAGAATTTGACGTTCTTCAATTCTTTAAAGTACAAAATAGAACAATTTGATTCTATAAAAAAAATTATAACAAAATTGTTTTAGTGGTTATTACTCAAAAATAAAAAAAGTCCATATATAAATATTTGAATATTTCAAAAATTAATATATAATATTAAATAAATAAGTAAATAAGAAAAAACTAGAGAATAAATGATTTTATTTTATTTAAAAATGGTTTTAATTTAAAAAATCATCAATAGGTGGTATATAAAAAAAAAATTAAAATACAAATAAATATAAAAACAATAGGAGGAATACATAAAATAAATTACCATATATTTACAAGCCAAGTTAAGTTTTTTTCTTATAACTTATTTTATTTTTAATATTATTTTAAAAAATTACATATATATTAACTTTTGGAATACATATTTATATACCTGTGTATTATATGTTTTACTTAGGTTCTTGTTCATACAAATTATTATTTTTTTTTTAATAAATTTTTATCTGTACATTATTTTAGATTTAAATAACACAACGAACTATTGATTAGTTTTACAATAATGCGTGCTCTTTTTCTTTGGGCAATAAATTATCCAGTCCTAATACTCAGTATTAAGACATTTGAAGTGAAGGGAAGTGATTTTTCAAATTGCACAGTTCGTCGAAGGTCATCAGAAACTGAAAAAATAGTGAGAAGAAATTCAAGCAAGTGTCCAATTGTAATTCTAAGAATCATATTTTTGTGCAATAACTTATTTTTTGTTTTCAAAATAATAACTTTTTTTTTTAATGAAAATAAAATACTTTAATATAACTTATAAATAATAACTAGTAGCATACTATAGTAAAATTAATTTACCAATCATAATTCAGATAAATTTACAATGACAACAGTTCTACAAGTAAAATTTAGTTGACTGATTAATTTTATTGCAATAAAATTGAATTTCAAATGAGTTCTTTATCTGATAATATTCTTAACTGGCCTCCTGAACTTTGAACTAAAATAATGCATAAGCTTTTTTTTATAATTTTGAATACTAACGTTTAACTTTCATAACAAATACCAAGAATTAATGTAATAATTTTAAGCTCTTATACTATCACAGTATTGAAAAAACAATTTTTTCTTTACATTTTTTATGTAATTTATAATTTAATATAAAATAGTACAAAATACACAACTAAATTTTTTAATTGTATGTACACATTCATTTGTAATCAATGATATATTGTAAAAGACTAGAAAATTTAAACATTTATAGATGAAGTGTTGATTAGTCATAAGTTCATAACTTACCACCGAGCAGCCATTTTAATTGGTGTAGTTAAACAGGAAGTAAACAAATCAGCAGGTAAATCTGGATGCATTGGTAATGTTTGATCTATTTGACATGCACCCAATTGGATGCAATTTTTAAAATTAGACCCTTCAGGGGGAGATACATACATTGGCTCTTTGATAGATTCATTCTAAAATGAAACCAATAAGTATACAATATTATAATTACATATATAATAAACAATTTTATCAAAAATAAAAGGTATTAAAAAAAATATTAAAAATATCTTTATAAAACCATAAGCTTCTTCGCTCCACTCAGAATCTAAAAAATATAAATTGGTTTGTACACTTTACAATTTTATACTTGTCTCAATAAAAACTAAGTTAATCTACAAATTTGTGCATATTAAATGTGTATGCAAAACTGAATGTGGAAATTACAGAGGAATATCACTCCTAAACTCAGCATATAAAGTATTCTCCAAAGTGCTACTGAACCGTATAAGTCCCTATATAGAAGAAAATCTAGGTGAATATCAATATGGTTTTAGGAAGGGCAGGTCCACTATTGAACAAATTGCAATTATTGGTCAGATCATAGAAAAAAAAATATGAATTTCGGCAAAACCTCAGGCAGATATTTATAGACTTTAAAAAAGCCTATGATAGCGTTTATCAAGAGAGCGTATACAACGTAATGACTGAATTTGGAATGCCGAAGAAGCTAAGGAACTTAGTCAGGATGTGTATGGAAAGAACACAATATCAAATCAGGGTAGGCCAGACATTCTCCAAAACATTTACAGTGGAAACAGGGCTAAAACAAGGGGATGTGTTATCCCCACTATTGTTTAATCTAGCTCTAGAGAAAACGGGTGTAGAAATAAACCAGCAAAAAATTCAAGTTCTAGGTTTTGCTGATGATCTTAACATCATAGGCAATACCAGAGATGACATAGAAAAAGCAACGAAAGTTTTAGAAAAATCAGCAGATAAAATAAGACTTAAAATAAACATTGAAAAGACGAAGATCATGGAGCTTTTAGACACGGATGCAGATGTAACGAACCCTGACCCGGATGACTGGATATATGAAAAAGTTAACGAGTTTAAATACCTTGGCGTAGGTATAAATACAAAGAATGACTGGTCACAGGAGATTGGGTTAAGGATAATAAAAGCAGGGAAGGCATCCTTTGCATTATCCAAATTTTTCAAATCTAAAATGCTGTCAAAGAAAACAAAAGTTAGACTCTACACAGTGATAGTGAGAGCTATACTAACATATGGATGCGAAGCATGGACGACTACAAACGTAACAGAACGAAAACTTACTACCTTGGAAAACAAGATATGGCATGCGATATGTGGACCCTGGTATGTACGAACACTGGTATATGGAGGAGAAAGTTTAACAAGGAACTGATTGAAGAAACAGGAATGATTTCAATTAAGTATTACATAAGAGGCCAGAGAATCCAGTGGTTTGGGCACATTGTGCGTGGAAGTGATAAGATAATAAAAACAGTAATGTCTTGGAAACCAACGGGTAAGAGACCACGAGGACGCCAGAGGAAAAGATGGATGGATGTGGTCAAGGAAGATCTAAAAAGGACAGGAATAGATAATTGGAGAAACATAATCCATGATCGAGAGAAGTGGCGTGGAGTTGTGATGACGGCAAAAACTCTTGTAGAGTAGATAAGGCCAGAAGAAGAAGAAGAAGAAATGTGTATGTGATATTGTTTTATATAACTTTTTCCAAATAAAATATTATTTTTGAAATATGAAATAATAAATTAAGATATTATATGGCTGTTTAACTAATTAAATTTATATACACATTTATGTAAAATATATTTTAGTATACAAAATAATGTTTTTATGAGATTAAAAAACTGTGATGTGATTACACAATGATCAACAACATGGTACATTATATAAAAATGTATTAAAAAAAAAAAGTTAATAATTCAATATTTATTTCTCCATAGTACAGTAATGTCCATTATAAATTATATTTCAACTATTTAAAACATCAACATTTTTACATTTCTCCTCATTTAACCAAAAACCTGTATTATGAGAATAGAAAAAAAATGTCTAAGATAGAACATCACCCACTACACCCACCAAATATGTATTTAACATAGAAAAAATATTATTTTTATCATAAATAAGAATAAAGAACCATCAGTCCTAGGTTTGTATTGTAATTTTTTAACAAAACATAAACAATTTTAAAATAATATTTTCAAAGAAATACTAGGTATTCGTGAAATGAATTAAACATGTGTTTGCACATATAACACATGTTAAATTAAAATAAACCTATAGGTATGTAACTATGAATATTTAAAAAAAAAACTATATACTAAATAATCTATTATAGATCTATAATATATTATAAATAATAATATAGATAATAAGTAACTCAAACATTTTGATTTAATTTTAAGTAGGTTCATGTAGTACATATGTAATTTTGTATTAATTGCAATTCTAATAACTTATTATAGTACCTAATTAAAAAAGGAAATACATTAGTTTAGTGTAATATCTACTCAATAATGTTTTTTAGTCTTGTTATCAATTATTCAATACATACATATTTAATTGGCAATTTAATTGTTTTCAACACAACAGTTAAATACCTAAGCAATTACCATATCTCAATTTCAAAGTTTAATAACAAAATAATGATAACTTTGTTTATTTGAGAAGAAGAAAATTGATTACGTGTTAATAATATTTACCAAAACTTCATTCTCATGTTGTTCTGCAAATTGGTTGAACAATTTTACAATCATTCCTGCATTTGAACAATCATAGACAAAAATTGATGGCGATCCCATCCAAGTTTGTAATTCATATATGGACAATGGAATGTATTGAGTATATTGCTAAGAATAGTTATGTAATATTTTATATAAAAAACTAAATAAATGGTAACAATAATTAAGGGAATTGACCAACCTTATTAAACACCCAAATTTCCCCATTTGCTGTAGGTTTTGGTACACCGTGTCCATTGTAGTGAAACAGTACTCTTTCTTCTTTCGCATTTCGTCTCAAGGAATTGCATAATTTTTTTACATCGTCTAGAGTAGGGTCTAAAGTTTGTTTGTAACGTGCTCTTGGCTGCCACCGTTCGTACTGCTTTTGTAAACTGCTTCCTATCATTTCCAATGCTTTTTGAGGAACCATCATCAATGGATCTTAAAAATATTATAATGTGTATATATGATTATGATAGACAAAATACGAATATATGAGGTTCTATTATTATTGTTTTGTTGAATAATATGCTAACCTATCCAACACTCTTGACGAGCACACGGCTGTATCTTGATAGTGTCCGGGGGATCTACACCTACATTGAGGCACAAAACGAGAGCGACACTCACGGTCTTCATCTGAGGAATAAAAATATAAAAAAGGAATATTTAACTATTATAGCAAAAAATTGAGAAGGGGTGTATGAAACGCCAAGGCTCATAGCTTGATCGATCGTGAGATATTGAATAACAAAATAGTTGGCAGAAACCCAGAATACTCACTCGTTCTTTGAGCCTCCAAGTGTTGACGGTGGTATTGATGCACTTGATCTCTTCGCAGTGCCTTTTTTGGGTAAAACATATCGGTAAATGCCAATCGGACGGTTCTAAGCTGTCCGCGCTGCCGGACGATCTGGTTAGCGTATCTTCCATTCATGCAGACGACAATTATTAACATTCGAAGTCGGCGATACGAGAACAGGGACGAGAATGCCAATATTGTTGTTTAAACAAGAAATGAAATAAAATATTTTAGAGGACGGGAAAATTTGAATTGAAACAAGAACCCAACAACAACGCCCGACCTCGTGTTTGTTATCAGATTGTCTTATCCGGTATATTATCTGTATGTCGATAAAATGTCTGATAACCTCGTGATAATGGTGTTTTGGTTTTTTTTGTATTTTTTTTTTTTTTTTTTATGTTACCAATTTCGGTTTTCGTGGTAAAAATGTTTCGATTTTTTTTTTGCCGCAAGACCTGCACATGTGATACTACTATTTTGTATTATTTTATTCAGTTTATATTTCTTATTTAAAAACGACTTGACTACACTTCTTTTAACGCGCTACCTTTTTATTTGCCAATCGCATTTACTTTCACCGTGTACATAATATTTTATTATATACCATATACGTAATACATACATGTATACACGTTTTCTTACAAACAATATATGCCGCCCGCATAACGTTCATTTCGTTGGTGTACAAAAGTTTTTCTTCCTGTGATTAGTGCCAAGTATAACTATTAACTAGTAAGTCGATGACGGTGTTAGAGTCCTAGTAACAAATTTAACATTGATAAGGTCGTTTACCATCATTTTCGATTTGTTAAGAAATGGACCGAAAAATATCATCAAACAAGTCACGTACTCCGTCGTCCAAAACTCCAGGGCTCAATTGCGTGATATGTTTTAAGACACAAACAATTTTTTCAATCGGACCATGCGATCACCCTGTGTGTTACGAATGTTCTACCACTATGCGAGTGCTCTGTGATCAAAAGGAGTGCCCAATATGCAGGCGTATAATGACTAAGGTTTTTAATACAATTTATTTGTGATATTCACTGTCCGTGGTACCATTAAACTATACCAATAATTTTGTGTAATAATGCCTATTATAATTACATATATATGTGTATATATATATATATATATATATATATATATATATTTATATGTATATAATATATTATATGAGTATAGCTTATCAATAGTTATTAAAAGTGTATTATCATTTTAATTAATATATCTATGCAACAAAACTAAGATAAACAGTACCTACTCATTTGGAATTTATTATAAATTATAGCCATGAAAAAATGTATATTGTTTAAAATTCAGACGAAATAGATATTCTTTTAAATGACAAAAAATAATTACCTATATTTATGTAGCCATAAAAAATGATCTGAAAATAACTAAGTACACTAATAATGCTTGTCAGTAACTTTTTGTTAATTCCTAAGTTTAATATTCATGTTTAAATGATTTTGTAGTTAATTTCTTTAATTATTCTTAGATAAAGGAATAATTCTAAAAAACATAATTTATTAATTTTTTTTTTTGTTTGTTTACATAACCATGATTCACCTAGGTACCTGTTTATCACAGTCCATGAAATACATATCTAATCATTGATTACATCACTTATTTGTGATATTTAATTATTTCGGGAGCATACTCACGGAGGGTTGATTGTGTTATTTCCTCCATTTGACTTTTTTTTTTATAACTTATGTATTAAGTTTTTCCTGTAATTATCATTTATTATATTATCATAGTTTTCTAATTTTATTATATAGTATAGGTATCTTATTAATGATTTTGAATTTTTAACTTCACACCAAAGTATAAATATAATTAGCATTGATTATATTTTTAATCCATTCAATTAAAATAATGATATGCACCTAATTAAAATAAAACAATTATAATAACTCCTAATGTTGTAATATTATAAATATATAATATATACTATTAGAATCAATTGTTTAATTATGCTATTTTTAAATGTCCCTACTTACCTTAAGTTAAATAGGTAGATTCTCTAAATGCTATTAAGTATTTAGGAAAAATGAGAATCTCTGATAACTGGTTAATGAATACTTTCTAATAATCCTTATATATTACACCTAAAAATCTTGTTAGTTTTATTAATTTTTCGTTATCCAATAGGGTGAATATTTATTTCCGTAATATTAAACCTAACAATAATTTTATTGTTTATTTATTAATTTTAATAATATTTTAAATGTTCAAACTGATTTTAAAAATAATAACTCGTATCAATACATTCTAGATAATAAATAATCAAATAATTAACATTTCTTAACATATCTATGTCTAATAATAACTAATTTTAAATAATCTCTCCTATTAAAATAAATTATTTCTAAATTCTATGTAAAACGACCAATTTGTATAATTTTTTTTTTTCTATGTAAAACGACCAATTTGTATAAAATTTTTTTTTCTATGTATTCCTTCATTTAATTTTTTATATTCAGTCACATTTTACATTTTGACTGTGATATACCTGATGATGAATTTTTCATTCAAAACCGATCTTTTTGAACTATGAAATTTCATTTTTTATTATTAAGTGACAATAAATAATCAATAAATTATTTACATTTACATTTACGTTTTTTTTGCAAATCACTAATTTAATTAAAATCAAATATCATTGATTCAACTTACTATTGAATATTTTATTATAGATATTTATATTAGTATTTATTATTTTAAATGTATTTTGTATGTTAAGGCTTATGTTAAAAATTGGATATTGTTAACTTATCGTTCAGTAGAATTTATTTTATGCTGTTCATTTTAATGTTACCATACAAATAATATACCTACTGACCGGGACATTTATCAAAATAATATTCCTTTTAAAAAAGGTAATTACCTTTTTCTTAATATTATTATTAAATAAAGTATTTATAATACTAAAAATTAAATACATACTTATTTTATCTTTTGAATCTTAATAATACATCTTGAATTTGAATAAAAGAAGATTATCTGTGTTTATACGTTTTTTTTTTTTATTATTATTTTTAAATTGTCATATTTCACATACTCGTATCAAACATATACAATATAAAAAGTTGACACTGTTTAATTTTTAACATACAAAGAAAATATTTTGTTAAATGTTAAGGAGTGCCGGCCAGAAATTGTTACTATACACTTAAAAAAGAACATTGATTTGTAACTATGCATATACATAGCAAATATAATAAGTAGTGGATTATTTGGTTTATACCCTGGTGAATTTGATATCATATCACCTTATAGTAATGATATTTTTATTTAAACATCTTGTAGCTTTACAAACAAGCAAATTTTAAAAATAAGTAAAACTTTTATAAACATATAAGTACATAACAGTAATATTATTATATTAATATTAATATACAATCAAGTCTGGGAGAAAAATTCTGACATACTTATAATAATTATATCAAATTATACTTACTTAATGATAAATATTATTAATATTTATTAGTTAAACAAAATACTAGAACTGAACAATTATTTATTTTTACTGTATTTAATAAATTGCATTAAATATAACATATAACAAACATCTAAAAACTTTATCAAGTTTATAGAAATATAAAATACATTATACTTATATTAAAAGTAGTGAATATTAATTTCCATTGTCTTAGTTTTGTTGGAAAAATAAAACATTATTATAATTAAAATTGTATGGCGTATGTTATAGGTAATTTTTACCAAAGATATTAGCCTATTTAAGAACTTGGATGGTCGTCAATATACTCGTTACAACAAGAAGTATGGGATTGCATTTGAAGATCATTCTGCAGAACTTCACTTTGACCAATTATTACGTTGTTACTGTAAAAAATGTTATGATCGACCAGATTTTGGTGCATTTGAACAGTTAGCTACACACATGGAACGAAGTCATCGTTTGTATGCATGTCGTCTTTGTGTAAAACACTTAAAGGTCATTTTTATTTATAATCTCATAATTTTTAATTTTATATGAAAAAAATTATTCGGCATAAATCATAATATTTATTTTAAAGAATAAATGTTAAGTATAAACAAGATAAATATATCCATTATAAATAAAACTATAATAATTTTAATATGTTATATGTATTATAGGTAATTTATAGTATTTACTTTTTATTTATGATAGATTTATTTACATGGTAATTTTTCCCAATTTTAATACAAAATAATTTTAATATTAATAGATATTTCCGAGTCACAGACGTTGGTATAACTATGATGAATTGGGTAAACACGAAGAATGTGGAGACCCTGATAATACATCCCATCGAGGTCATCCGCAATGTCAATTTTGTAATATTCGCTATTTAGATAAAGATGAATTGTATAAACATTTGAGAAAAGAACATTTCTATTGTCATTTTTGTGATGCTGATGGCATTCAAGATTATTATATGTATGTATAGATAAATGGTAAAACCATATATTTAATTATTCTTACAATTTGTTTAACTGGTGTTATATTTTTATTGCTCAGGACATACGAGTGGTTGAGAAAACATTATCATGATAAACACTACCTTTGTGAAGAAGGAAATTGTATTAATGAACAGTATACATCAGTTTTTCGTTCATCAATTGATTTACAGGGTAACATTATACATAATAAGCAAAACATTAATATTTTATTATCTAATGTAGTATAAATTACAGTTTTATCATAAAATTAAATTTTTTATCTCATAAATAGCTCATAAAGCTCAAACACACAGTAGAGAATTGGGTAAACATGGTTCTAAGGAAGCACGTACACTTAGGCTTGACTTTCATTTGCGACCACGACATAATCCTATTGTCGAAGCTGGCAGACCAAATCAATACCAACCGCCACATAATTATTCGTGAGTTTTGTGGTTGTAAAAATTAATTGAACCCACCACGAATTGCATTATTATTTATAACAATATGGGTTCACAGCCTTTTTCATTATTCACACACATTTTTTTTAATACTTTAAACACAAATATTTCTACATAACTAAAATAACGTAAATTCTGTTGTTTTCAATCTAAGCATACTAACTAGAATCAGATAAATAAAGTGACTATCAAAGGAAGGTATGGAAAGAAATTATTGTTTTTATTTACTTTTCATCCAAAATAAATCACTGACTAAAATAATATCTAACGGAATTTATTCACACAGTCTTTTGGACAAGTTTTTGATTATAAAAATATATATAAATCCAACAAACACAATGGTCTATTCTTAATAGCTTTATATATTTATTAAGGTATCCAAGTACATAAAATAATGTAAACTACCAATGAGTAATTTATAAAATAATTAATATAGTCTTCAAACTGTGATGCAATTCATGGTGGGTTAAATAGAAAAATAGATGACATATTTGACATATATATCATACATGTTATGAATATGGTATAACATATGCAATTTGTGATTTAGGAATGATATTTATGCGCCTGAACGTCCCATCAATGTACGCGATACATCAGACTTTCCGTCTTTAAATGGTCAAAATACAACAGTCCTCCCATGCGCTCGTAGCAGAAAACAAAACCAACATGTCAACACACGAGATCTACACTCATTTCCGGCTCTTAGTCAAGAATCTAACATGCCTCAGAAGCCCCAAAGTACATCTAATACTATTCGAATGGCTACGTTATTGAAAAAACCTCCAGAACCACCTAAACCGGACAAAAAGAAGAATGCTGCTGCAGGACCTTCTGTGCCTCGAATGCCTAACCAAGCTAGAGACTTTCCCTCTCTGGACGGTAATCAGCAGCAGTTAAAGACTAAAGAAGTTGTGGCGGTAACATCATCGGCTAATAATTCCGGTAGTGGCAGTTGGGTGTCCAAAGCAAAGACTGCAAATGAGAACGGCCAAGATGAGAAGAAAAAAGCCAAAAAAGAACCGGCAGCCATAAAGAAAAAAGTAGCAGAGGCGCCTAAACTACCAGGAGCATCCGACTTTCCAAACTTGAATAAAAAATTGGAGCCGAACAAGAGCAATCTGGCTAAGTTGGGTAACAAAAAGAAACCAGATAACTCAAAAAAAAACTCTACACCCACTGTACAAATTGAAAGTAACAATGTAAATGCTAAAAAGAGCGGCGGATCACAGACTACAACTGTTGCTGAAAACAACAGTAATAACCATTCTAAGAAATCGGTGGCAGTGGATAGTTCCAATAAATCGATAGATCACATTAAGGAAAACAGTAGACCAAAAACTAAATCAGCTGAAGCCCAGCAGTGCAACGGTCGTAGTGGTGTGACTACAACCAAGGCAACAGTTGCCAGCAAAATGGATCCAAACAACACTAAGGTTGTCCCCAGCGAACCCATGCGCAAAGAGTCATCATTCAAAAAGAAAGAAAGCCCAAGCCCACCGCGTGTGGATAAACTTGTAGAGGCGGTAACATCAGACAACAACAGTCAGAAAGACAAGAAAAAGCGAAAAAAGAATGAAAACAACAAAGAACCGCCGCTTGATTCGGTTGCGCAGTTACCGCCGGAAAACTTCTCGATAACTCCAAAAATACCGCCTGGTTTTGAGAACACTGTTCAACAGCAAGTGGTCAGAGCTCCGCCGGGGCTTTCTAGTCTAGATGATAGTAACCATCCTCAGCTGCAACAATTAAAAACTCCTCCCGGGTTATCGCTGACGTCAGGTTACAACTACCATGATATCATCGACAGTGGACCTACCACTACTACTACTCCTACTGTCATACAGACGCTGTACGAATATATACACCCAATAGGGTCGTCAATCCGGAATAAGATGCTCATCAACAACTTGATGGCCGCGCTCATACCTGCCTGTGATGAGAGTTTTGACACGTTTGAGAAGTTCAAAGAGATGTCAACGCTCTTCCGAAAGCATTTAATTACTGCCTACGATTTCTACTCATATTGCGTGGAGGCTCTGTACCCTCACAGTTTCAAAGCCGTCTTCTTGGAACTGGTGTTACTGTTGCCAGATATCCAGAAACAACAAGTAGGTGGTAATTTATTACATGCTGAAATGAGCGCCAACCACCATGCTCTCTTAATAAATATACTATAAACTTGGTATTGCCCTCAAACTTACTAACTTGTAGTTTCCATTCCACTCACCACTGTAGTGGAAATTTTATTTTAATAATAGGTAAAATACACAAATTTAAAAATATGTTATTTATTGTTAAAGCTATTATAATTTTTGGACCTTTATACTTTTACAAAGTACAAAATTATAACTGGGACCCGGAATTATATGCACTAAAAACGTATGAAATATGCATGCATGTGCTGAATTATATTTATCTAGAAGTGATTAGATAATATAAAAAAACAAATTCCTTTTGAACTTTCGAACTATAAAGGTAGGTAAAACCAACAAATTGTAGTAAAACAAATGAGTTTGAAACACTTAGGTATTCGACTATAATGCAATGAAAAATTGTAAAATACAAAAATATGCAGTACACATTAAAAGATAAAATTAAAAATAAAACTTTGTATTTCAGATCTATTGACTATAATTCAAACTTGTAGTATATCTAGCTACTTTTTAGGCTGTTAAAAAAAACATGCAAATGCATATAAATCTGGGCTCTAGTTATAACTATTGTTTGATATGTTTAAAAAAAAATAGGTTTTTTAGCTTAAAGTTTTGAAAATTTTTCAGATTTATATTCTCTAATAATCCATAATAAGGTGCTTAAAAACGTAAAATAGTCCTGAGAAAAGCACTTAAAAACATTAAAAAGGAGAAAAAATTATAAAGGAATTTAAATAGTCCCCCTCTTACGGCTCAAACTTATTAAATTAAATTTTCATATACTTTATATTATAAATAAAAAAATACTTTTTATTAATCATTTTTAGAATATGTTTGAAAATTGTATTTATAAGTTAAATCCATTAGTGGGGAGGGTTTTTAAACCCCTCTAATATTTTTGATTTTTAAATATTTTTTAAGTTCTTTTTTTCAAAGCTTTTGTGAATTTTAAAAACGTATAGATCCAGTCTTCAATGGTTATGCCATTTTGCACAAGCAACACCATTACTCTTTTCACATACATCAGTGGTTCTTAACCTTTTTCGAATGATGGAACACTTAACATTTTATAAGATTTTCGCGGAACACAACCATAAAATAAAATAGTAATGCATACATTTTTTAATTTTTTAATATATTAAACAATGAATGTATAGCATAAAATTGTTTGCATGCCATACATGTTAGTGTTAATCACTAAAAAATAATAAAAAAAAAGTTAAAAATTTGAAATTGAATACTTTGTATGAGATATTTGTGCCTGATGATTTTTACAGATATTTTCAATATCTGACCGTATGTAGGATATTGCTACTCTCATTTCCTCTTCAATATTTGTCAGCCTTTCTCATTTCTTTGTTTTGATATTCGTCAATGTTAAAAATCCACTGATTTTAAAATTTTAAGCGGAACACTTATCCCAAGTCCACAGAACACCTGTGTTCCGCGGAACACTAGTTAAGAACCACTGACATTTATCGATATAGTATAATATTAAATTAAATTATTAACAGAATTATGACTAACTACCAATATATTTTGGTTTTTAGTTGGAAATTCCTCTTGCTACCGCGTTAATGGTGTTAGATTATTGTTAATAATTTTCAGACAATAGAATTTATAAATGTTTTTTTCCTAAGGAATTAATATACATTTACAACTGTACCACCGGAGAAGAAATGCCTGTCGAAATGTGCAAGCATTGTCGACAAGTTTTGAGACCCATCGACATGGAACCACATGTTTCTTTACATACCACCTTATGCAGATGAAAGAAAAGGAAATGTCAATACCATTACCGTTAACACGCCAAATTAAAATATCATATATTTTTATATCATTACCCGATTTTATTAAAGGTAATATATATATATATATTTATATGTATATTCTATCATTATTTATTTATGAACCCTACCCGATCAAGAGCTTTCACTTAAAAAAAAAAAAATGAAAATGTCTCTAGTATTTGCTGATAAGGCTTTTATTTTTTCCAATTGAATGACAATAACCACTTAAAACTCAAGATTTAAAGAAAATTATCATACATTTAAAAACAAATTCATATCTATTATTTATGTCTGTCAAGGTTTAACACATTTGTACAATATTTATACCCATTTTGTATTACTTATATAATTAATTATACTACTACAAAAAAAAAAGAGAAAAATGTCTAATCGAAATGACTTTATGTGAGATTACAGATTGCTTTTTGTAAACATTGTATGATATAGTTTTTAATTTTGATTTAAGAGAAGAATACACATATTTCAGTCATCAGACAATAATGCCACACTAAATTAATTATAATAATAAAATTTAATTATTATTATTATTATTATTATTATTATTTTTAATGTTTAATGTGTATTCAAAAAATATTAAATAAGCTTATTATTTTCATTATTTATTTTTATTTTTTTTTTGTCGAACACTGTTTCCAACAGTATTTTATATATTATTGTGTAAGTAAATTGGTTCTTATTTGGGGATCAGAAATTTTTTTTAATGTCCTTTTATCAAAAACAATAAAATGTTTATATACTAAATATTGTAGTTGGCCCATATTCGGTGTTCATTATTTTCAAAGATGCAACACACTAAAATACATTGATTTTCCAGATATGTTTACCAAATTTTAGAAAACTAACAAAAAGAAAGTGGATTGGAATGCCCAAATCTATTTCAATTCCTCTTCCCCTCTCAAAAATTAACTTAACCTCAATTATTTCCGTACAAGATATTTTTTTTTGTCAACTCTTTATACCTTATATAAATTAAATCAAAGAAATCAACATATTTTATATGATAAACTTTACATTGATACACGGGAATGAACAAATTGTCCTAGGAAGCCATGAATAGGACTCAATTGTTTGATATAACCACCCTAATACACGGTATAAATTGTGAATTGCAATAAACTATGGTTTGATTTTTATTGATCACACTTTCAATTTATTGTCTTGAGTTACCACTCCTTTGTTTCTGGTTAAAACAAAAAATCAACGGAAAAAGTTATATTTTAGTTGTACTTTTTAACAGTATTCAACTGCATGCATAAGCTATGTGCTCTAATATCATAAACAGGTGACCTAAAATAGTCTGGAATTTGTCTTACAATCTGTGTATTTCTGTCAAATCTGCTATTAAGTAAGTTGACTTTCATCTATGCTATTATAATCTTAGGTAAATAATATCACTTAATGGCAATGTTATTTAATTAATTAAAATGTATATTCTTTTGTTATAATTGCATATCCAAATACATCAAAAATTAAAATTACATGAAAACAAATATCTCTAAAACTTAAAATAACGTTAAAGGTAACAAGTTTTAGTTAAGATACATAAATAATGGGTTTTTATCAAAATACATTCTATAAAATCCAATCCAGAAAAATATATAATTTTCAATAATAATAACATTATTTCATAAAAATTTTAATACTTAACACAACATAATTAATTTTAGTCTTAATATCTCTTAAATTAATTTTTTAATAAAAATAATATAGGTATGTACAACAGTAGACAAACAAGATGAATGCCAAATAACAAGTCAAAATATGTATAAACTATATACCTCTAATTCCTATAGTTTTTTAAACCATTCACTTATCAAGAAATTAGTTATGACCACCACACATATCACTGACCATATCAGTATACCTTGTGGCCAATATTTAGACTTGAATGGTGAACAGTAATCATTTTTTATGGCAGCTACTTGTTGCGGTATTTCGGAACGTGCAGCCATAATTAACAAAGCGGGCGTCACATACTGAATACCAGAACCGGCATACACGGCGACAATAGATACCTACAGAATTCAGAATATTATACACAAAATATTACTAAATAATTGCCTACTTATTCATCAATTAATACAAAAACTAACAAATTAGGAAAACCAAAATCTCTTTTTTTATAATCAGTTATGTACTGAATATTACGATTTGTAATTTAAACTACGTAACAGGCATAATTTGTTCTATTTATCATATATTTGCATTATTAATGAACCTAGATAAGCCAAAAGGTATTATTCCTTAAAATACTAATGATAAAATTGTTTACGCTATACAAAATTATATTCTATATACCTTTTAATAAAAAGCATACACTTATTTATAAAATGCACAGGTACAAGTAGATGATATTTTTTTTTTTAGTTTTACTATAGTTTTTTCAAAATGTATTAATGCAACAAAAATATTTAACAAAAAAAATAATAATAAATAAAAGACAATTAAAAGAGTCATTAAAAGTACATGCATTACATTAATTACTCATAAATAAAAAATGAATGATAGTGTATTATAATCATACTATTGAAAAAGTAGGATCATCATTTGCAAGACACAGACGATAAAACTGAGAGTTTGATACATAATTTGAAGAGGATACAGGAATATAGAAGAATATCTTTGATCTTGTTACAACCAATAAGGGCTAGTCCAATTACATGGAAATATAGACAATAACAATAACATAAAAATTATAAATATAAATGACAACAAATAAGTATATAACACATACTAAAAATGGATTACTATTTGTCAATACGCATCATTCTAATGAATGGCATTAAAGTATAAAAATGATGGATACATGTGATAGGCAGAGGTGGAAAGGACTTTAAAGTTAATCAAAGAAAGTAGAGCAAGAGAGTCAATAATAGTAATCCATTAGTTGACCAAGAAAATTTGGATTAGCAACTTTTTTTCTATCAACTAAGGAACTTAAACATAACTAGATCATGCAGTGGATGGTCAAAGTTTAAAATAAAAGTGGCATACCTTAGAAATTTGTTATTAAATTCTTTCAATTTGTTCGCTACTACAAGAAGTAAATAAATCCCAAATCATAGCTCTAAATTCTTAAATAGACATTACATAGTCACAATATAAAAACTTTATGGGGGGTAGTAATTTAAACTCATTACATACAAATTGGTTTATATACCAAGCATTTTTGCCAAGGCTTTGTAACATATAGTGTCAAAATGGGAATGAAACTTTAATTCACAATCAAATACTTTACCTAAGTCAGATACTTTATTATCAGCATAGATAAAATGGAAATAATCATAACTTTCATGGAATTTCATTTGTAAAAAGACATTTTGAGAAATTAAGTTCCAATCCATGAACATTTGCCCAAGTCACAAGAATTAATATAATTTTGAAATAAATAATGATCACTAAGAAAATTAATTTTAGATCATCATTGAATAATACTATTAAGTTATTTTTTTAATATTGTTAATAAATAATGCAAAAAATAAAGGAAAAAAATGACATTGAGGAACACCAGAAGTTGTATCAATGATAACAAATGTAATATCGTGAACATTAACAATTTGTTTATGACCACAAAAATAGGATTGAAACCAAGACAACTAAGGTTCAACAAATCTAGAATTAAACAAAACATCAATTTACAAAGAATGATCTATGTGATCAAAAGCTTTGATTAAATGCATATAAATTACATCAACCTAAGAACAACTATTTAACAATATATGTCATATTATTGGATATTATTATGTCATCAATTTTACTATGGTCAAATAATTAAATAGGCATTATATATTGTCTTTAATAATATTTGTTAAATGTACAAATGGTGTTTAATGGTTTTGCATATTTGTTAAGAAAATCGAAAAATGATCTCCCTAAAGTACCTTCCCAGTCAGATTTCCTTTTAAAAAAGTTGCTACACTTAAAAATCGGAGCAAGAGTTCTGATAGAAAAATTGCGCACAGATAAAAAAAAAATATTTGTATAAAAACATAAGCTCCTTCGCTCTACTCAGAATCTAAAATATAAGGAACTCATTTAGAACAGAATAATCTAAAGTATCGTAAAAAAAAAAATGAATATATCTAAGTTGGCATCAAGTTTAAGAAACATGTTTTCAATTAAAAGAAAGAAAAAAAAAACAGCTTTATGAAAATAAAAATAAGATTGAAAAGCAGTAAGTGAATGTAGATTAAAATGAATAAAAATCAATAGACAAATATGGATGATACTTATCTTCAGGAACCAAAGGATCATAAGTAGCAGTAACTTTATATTGATTACTATTTACAAAAACTAAATCTAACAATCTAACAATTATAACCTAACATATTAATAAATAATATTTAAATAATAATATAATAAAGTTATATTTATTTATTTTTAATAAATATAATTAAAGAGTACTAATGTGAATGCAATGTAAAATATATGTAATGGTATACAACCTTAGTTAATGGTTATAAATAACACTATAAATATAAAAGTTAACTGATTGTATTTATATCAAAATAATTATGTTTAGATTAATACCGATATTTATGTAAAAAAAAAAATATATATTTTTATAGTTAAACAATTTATACTATATAATAATACTAAAAGAAATTATTTTAAAGTCTCTTACCAAATCTTCAAGCCCTGTAACAAAAGCTGCAAGTAGTACAGGCGTAATCAAAGAAAACAATGGTATAACTATTCTTCTCCACATCCAATGTGCATCATTTGGAAGAAACATCACCTAGATCAAAAATATATGTCACAGTCAAAGAAAGAAGTTGAGCATTGTATCAAGATGCCCAGGCATGGTACACAATCCCAGATTTTCAAGAGGCAAGTAGGATGAAGTTTACATTGTCCGGACATTGTATAGAGCCCAAATTTAACCAGGCAAACTAAATTATATTAAAAAATAAACAAAATATTTTACTGGATGCCTAACTTTAATAAACATTAATAAAAACTGATTTTTAAATCTATTATCCATTGGAACATTGTTGTTGATTAATTTATTATTAAATTATAGTAATTTTAATTAATTATAAATAAAATGTAATATTGTTTTGTATTTTTAAATGAAACTATTATTATGGAACTTTGAGTTGCAAACTTTTTTTAATCACTTCCTTTTCCTACTCATAAATCAAAGCTACATCTATTGTTGCACTACAGACAATATGAATAATATTAACTAAAGACAAACTATAGGACAATAATCATTTGAAAATATTGAATACATTATAAAATATTTGATAAAAATAGTGTATGCACTAATATACTGATTCACATCGTTATTAAGATTACAGACCACTTTGTAATACAACTGTCATTGTCATTTAGTTCCTAAATTAGATATATATCTATATCAAAAAATGTGGTATCAAACAAATAAAATACAAAGTTAATATAATTACGTATTAAGTACCTACATAAGAGTGAAATTTATTTAATTCACTTAGCCCACCTAAATTCATACAGGTATTTAATTCACTTTGTCCACTTAAATTTGTACAAGGTAAACATTGTCCAAATACTCTTGTACTGTGCCTGTTCAATATGGGGTGAATTGAAGTATTAATATGTTGCCTGCGTACCAACGCCAATAATTAGCGACATTGATTGTTCAGCAATGGGTTTAATGCCACTTGGCATCCAATAAACATTTGATGTAAATTGTTTAGTATTCCCTCAGCATTGCTGAATGATAGTTATTTATGTTATTTGAAGATTGTAAGTTTTTCCTTTTACCGTTGTAGAAATATTATTTTACATTTGTTTGTCATTAGTAGTGTATGTCAACCTGCTTTTTTGGTAAGTCATTTATTATTCATTATTTATTATACAACATGACAAATAAAAACTTTTAATTTTTTTTTTTCTATGTGGTGGATATAAAATGTACTAAAATGTTCAGGAATTGTGTACCATGCACGAGAAATGTGATACAACACTTAGACTTTCTACTTTGTCCGGAAATTATACATCAATTAACAATTATAATATGAATGAATATTATTGGAATTTGGTTATTTATTAGTTATTATAAACTAAAGAAAAGTAAAGAACAGATATTATTATTTTAACATTAATTTTCATAAAATTGTTCATCCAAAAATAAATAATCATTTTTCTTAATAAAATCAATTAATCTGACAAATTTTGAGAAAAGTATAATAAAAGAACGGACATACTTTGCACGTTTAATGGACCACTGTTGTAGGTGAGAAGTTAGGAAGGTAGAGGGGAAATTTAAATTATATCTGTAAGCAATGATTAACTATAGCTAACAAAAAACCATTCTGAGCGAAGTTTGGATAATAGTGTTGCTTTATTAACAATATATATGTCATATGGTAAAATAATTACACATAAAAAATATATTTTCTTAAGTAATATTTATTTAATATTGTACCAAATTTTTCGTTTTTTCCTGTTTTTTCATGTATTTTCTATTTATAATAAAAACAGCTGGGAAAATCAGAAATTGACAACCCCAGTCAAATTTCCTTTCACAAAAGTTTATAATTTAATAAATTAGAAAAAGTAGAAAACTGTTCACAAGAAACAAAAAGGCCATAGTACTATTTTATTAATACATTTTGTACATTTTCCAGCTTTTCTTCAGATTTTTCTCATTTATTGGGAACTCCATAGAAAATCAAAATATGACCTCAAAAAAGTACCACCCCAGTCAGATTTCCTTTCAAAAAAAGTGCTATAATTTATAAACTAGAGTAAATTGCTGGTAGAAAAGTTGTCCATGGAAAAAAAAAATAAACATTATTGTAAAACCAATACATTCCTCGCTCCTCTCAGAATCTAAAATGAACCATAAAATATATAGTTTTATGAACGCATTCAAAAATTATTTACAGAGTTTAACATAAATCTATTAACTAATATTTAAAAGTAATTTTTTAAATATTAGAATAAAATTAAGTTAATTATTATTTATATTTACTTGAAGATTATTTCTCAAAGTAATTGCAATAACTGGAAAACTTATACTGATCGTAAGTACAGGAAAAAGAACCAATATTGAATCAATGAATTTGTAAAATAATCCAGAGTCTTGTGACGGTATGAAATTTATAGTGTACAAATCATCAACTTTTGGGAATGCAAATACACCTGTCATACATAAACAAATGTACAAACTATAAATAAATAGAAAGTTAGCCGCAACTTTCAGCAATATTTTGTTTTTATTTTTAATTGGCGAAATCACAGATGGAATTGAATGATGACACATAAATGCATAAATGGAAGCGCCTATTAACTGTGGTATGCCAATAAAATTAGCGACTGGTGTGGTTCCGTGTTTTTCTGTAGGTGAAATCAAACGCATTGTAGCTAGAATCACCATTGTAATAATAGCTAAAAACAAAATAATACAGATATGAAAATAAAAAAATAAATAAATATCAAATGTGCATAATTATATTACCATATTAATGAAATAACTTACCAAAAGTACGTACAAAAAAACCCATTATTTGTAAATATTTAGTCTTTTGGACATTAAAAAAAGTGAATGGTCCAATTAATACAAGGTACAGCATCTATTAATAGATAAATAAAATATTAAACTCAACACTAATATTAATTTCTTTTTAATATAATTATTAATTAAAACTCACCAAATAACCTAAGTAAATCTCATGTTTGGTATATGATGAACTTTCCCAACACAATTCTGATATGTTTGTGGCATGACTATCATTGAAATGACTAAATAGTTTTAAACAAATTATCCATTAATTTATAATTCTATAAAAATTAATTTAAAAAAAATAAAAAAATGTCCATTCATTATTAGAAACTTACCAAGTAAAGTCCACAAGCGATTGTCCTATTGCTTTGTAATAAATTGATAAGTCGCCAAACAAATAACCACAGAGAGAAAAATAAAATATCACTTTAGCAAATGGTGGCAATAATACATTCACCATTTCTCCCTAAAAAATGAATTTATTTATTTTTTGTTATACATTCAATTAAAATTCATGAATAAGTATCAGTTCATAAATATTACCATTTCTATCCTGTTATCTAGTGAAAGTAATTGTACGGATTCTGGAGGAAAGTCCATTAAGGAACCTTAAACAAAAGAAAAACTCTAAACTAATTGTCCAATCAATTATTCTTGTATTTTATATTTATGTCAACAATACTATTTTTTATTTAGTATGTTTTTACTAAAATTATCATATAGGTAATTATTTCAAATATAAGCTTTTAAATAAATAAATATTCATACAAATATTATGATTGGATCTAATATTATAGTTTATAAGTTATAATTTTTATTTGTAGATTTTGAGTGTCGCAAAGAATGTATTGGTTGTACAATGATGTTTATTTTTTATATATTCTAAATAGAGCAAAGTATATAATAGTTTTACAATGTTTATTTTTTTATACTGTGCACAAAAATTCTACCAGAAATCTTACTCCAAAGTATCAAGTATAGCGCTTTTTCTGAAAGGAAATTTTTCTAGGGTGGTACTTTAAGAAGGTCATTTCTTGATTTTCCAGGAGTTTTCCCAATAAATGAGGAAAACGGAAAAATTTACAAAAATAATACTTTTATTTTAAATTTTGTTTTTTTATTGTAATTCAGTGAAAAATATTTATAGAATAAACAGAAACATTATATTTATTTTTTATGCTTTGGTAAAATGTTCAAAACATTTGAGCCATTTTTAAGGTATTAAATATTTTAATTTTGCAAATATGTACATAATATTTATTTGGTAGGTACTATGGACATAAAATTGATATACGAAACAGAAATGCTTGATAATTTAACAGGTAGTGTAGTTCATTCAAGTTTTACTTTGTGGTCCAAAAAAACTTGATACAAAAAACAAATACATTTTGGGTCAACCTAAAGACCCAAGCCATCGTAATATGAAATATTATACATTAATGAAAAAGCTATAGGTACAATAAGGAAATTTGGAAAGGAATTTTGACTGGAAAGGTACTTTAAGGAGGCCTTTTTTTTTCGATTTGCCCAAAAGTTTTCCTAGCAAATATGAAAAACGAGAAAATTGGAATATTAAACAAATATTATTTAATAAAATATATTATGCCTATTTAATTATTGTAAAATATTATTACATATATATTGTTGACAAAGCACCACATCTCACTCATAATCATTTTTTTGTTAGCAATGATTAATTTTTACTTACAGATATACACTAAGTTCTCCCCCCTCCCTATATCGTACCTTCCTAACTTTTCATCTAGGTACATCAGAGGTAGGACCACCCATTGTGCAAAGTATATCAGTTTTTTTTATATTAATAATATTGAAATATTTTACTAACCTATATTCTTATCATTTTGAAATAAATGTAAAGACAATATTTAATTACAAGTGGTGCTTATTAGATCCAAATATATAATAATATATATGTGCGATATGTAAAAAAAGTCTGAGAACTTCTACTTTATACAATTAGAAGGATTACATACTGGATTTGGGCAAATCTGGGTTGTCAAAAATAGGAACTTCATCATCACTGTTAAAACTATCAGTACTAGTAGTTGAAGTTCGATCATAGTTAATTGATGCAACTTGTGGCATCATGTCTTTACACTAAAATCAAAATATAGTTTCATTACAAAGATGTAAATAAGATGATCAGTAATATTCTATAAATAATACCGATTTCAAAGCACTGGTAACACTTTTCATCATTTGTAATTTACGAAGTTGAATTATAGAGTTTGTAATGGTAATTGTTTCAATTACAAACGTGAATGTGATGTAACTGCAAAAGAAATACCAAAATTATTTTAAACGTCAAATAATAACAATAATAGATTGCCTGTCTAACCTTAAAAAGGCCATAGCGGCAATAATTATACCACTTAGAAACCATCCAGTATTTTGAACAACAGCTGGTAATGTCAAAGCACCAGGCCCGATAATCAAATTGAAAACAAAAATCAACCCAATCTGTGTACAAATTTTAAAATTAATTTAGCCAACATTATTCTGGAAATAAACATACCTAATTAATTATAAAAAAAACCATACTATTACTTACAGGTGTCGAGTATATGGAACTCATCGTATTTTGTTTGTATATATGTATAGTAAAATAGGTACAAGATTATTACAAATGTAGTAAAAAGGTTGAAAACAATAGCATTACATCCCGATTATTGTCTGTACAAAGAAACGTTTATCAGCCAATTTCTTGCATTATTCTCAAAACTGATGTTCATAGAAAAAAATGAAAATAAAAATCATATGATATATTACTTATTTGTTTTTAATAACAATACGTGTTGTATAATAATATAAATAACGAGCGGCAATTTCAAAAACGAGTGTGACGACGCGGACGTGATTCGTTTTGCACTAGGTACCTGCTAAATACGTCCTCGCAAACCGCTAATTCAATCCGTTCCGAATGCTGATTATTATTGTGAAACGCGAACGTATCCGTAAAACAAAATTCTATTAATTTGCTCAATACTGTAAGAGTCTACGGTGGCGGCCTTCTCGTCCACGACGATCTTAGAATAAAATTACAATTAAGCAGATAGGTATCTTTTTTTAAGTTATTTTTTTTTATTTATTATGTTATTATTATTATTATTTTGTTATCATTACAAATACAGGAAAGATATTAAAAATTCAAAACATAAAACTCGACTACGTAGATAACACTGTTATTTCCAACAGACATATAGAGGGGAGGGACGGTATAAATCGGGAAAATATCTAATACACGGGAATATAATATTGGGAAATGGTATTTAAATGAATGATAAAAACCAATGGGTCCTAGCCGGGTTCATACGATCAAATATTTGGCGAACGGCAAACTTTAAAAATTTGTTTGAAAAATGGTTCAAAATATCCTCAACCGAAACTCTGTAACGATCGGTCTAATATAACAACAGCCTGAGCGACGCAAATTTAAGTCACGACCGTGATAAATGAATGCAACTGTACGGTGTACAAATTAATCGTTATGGAAATTGTACAAACTTGTTCAAGTCTAGTGGTACCTACTCCACCTGTTCAGTGAATAGTGACGCATAAATTTGCTCTTATCGGTGCCATTGAAAACGAAAATAATAATTACGATGATTGTGATAATAGGTAATTTGTTATCAATCTAGTAAGTAATCCGATATTTGACAAAACCGTCAAATATTTTTGAAACTTTTACTAAAGTTTGATTACACGTCAAATATGTGACGACCGTGTGCACCGGGCTTCGAACGCCAATTCGAAGGCGAACTCGTATCGAACATTTAATTCGAAAATAAACCCAAACGTGCTGCATAAGAAATCACGTCGGGTAGGTAGGTAACCGGCGAAAAAGTGCGATGTAAATGCGCGGTTACTCGGCGAAGCGACAAAAGTATTTAAGAGATCAATGAATATTATCCGCGAATTCAACATTTAATACCCTGTTAATTATAATTATGTTAATTGATATGCATAATTTACAATATGAATATAACTAAATGTTTGTATAATATTATAATTAATGCGTGCGTCTCCGTCCGCGGTTCCTGTGACAATGTTCGCCCGTGTTTCACGCGTCCCCGACCCCGTGATATTTCCGCATCGGCGTACGTCCGCGTCGTAATTCGTAACGCCCAAGTACGCCACCTGTAACGATTGCATTTGTCGCCCGCGGGCTGCGAGCCGTAGTCCACGGCGCACGCAACACGACGTTTCTACCGCCGTCAGTGGCGTAGCCGGGGTTCGTTTCTATGGGTTTGTTTTTACGTTTGTTAACATTTTACGTATTTCAATACGCCTGATAATTGTTTATGCCGTAACACAACGCATCCTGTAGGAATCCGACGCCTAACTGCGTGTAGTAAAAATTACGTTTAATTGTTGGCGTGAATGCACTCAAACGGGGATGTTTGAACACCGAAACACCGTCCTTCACTACGCCACCGTCCGCCGTCGACGAGTTTCGTTCGCCTTGTAATAATAACTGACATGTTAAATACAATTTTAGATTCCGAATGGAGCGAAAAAGCTTACGGTTTTACAATGATGTTTTAGATTCTGAGTGTAGCGAGAGGAATGTGTTGGTTTTACCGAGGTGTTCATTTTTTTTCCTTTCTTTTTTATACCGCGTACACAAATCACACCAGAAATCATGCTCAGATATGTGCGCGCGGCACCATGTCTGTAAGGGAATGTTGTCAACGTGGTACTTTTGGAAGGCAGGTGTAAACTGTAAATTACAATATGGAAAAATGCGCTCGCTCGAACTCCAGAATTTAAAATCCAAATAGATTGGTATGCGATACTGTACACATTATAGGCGCATGTTATACGCTAAGTGATAACGGAAAGCCAAAAACAAAATGTAGTGACTGTAGTCGCACAACATTTCACTGTAACGTCTGTGTTCGATAACTGAGTGCGATAAACGTGTGGGTATTGATGTAACAAACACATTAGTTGATGACGTCAGTTGTGAATCAAACTCAAAAATAATATTCAAGTTCTAGCGATAGCGGTCAGTTAATAACGACGCCGCGTGACGCTGCTCATGCATTAAGTGGACTGGGAATACAAATGATGATTCAGTAGCGATACAATGATAATTTATTATGATTTAAACATATAATATAGGGTTGTTGTATTTTTTTATTGACTTTGAATGTTCACGTGTTTCACGCACAATAGCCAATAGCAGTATTTTTCATCGGCCCATTTTCGTTAATAAAAATAACGGCCCACCGGGAAAATCCCGGTGTCCCGGCGGCACCTAAGCATTCCGTACATGAGCTCAGCACCTGTATTAAAATCAAGCACTACGGTTCGTTTGTTTGAATACGCCGGCAAATAATTTTTGGGGCCGGTTATCACGTTTTTAGCTTAAGTGCTTGTTCTGAATTGACCGCGGTACGTTGGTTGACGCGTCGATTTGCGGGATCTGTGTTTTCGAGTTTGATACCGTCCGGAGTAGTAGTACTTTTTTTTTTTTTTATTGTCTCTGGGTACACTCAAAATGCTTTTTCTCTTTTCCCTATTACCTACCACACGCGGTTTTGCGTTTTTATTTTTAAGCTATATACATTTCATTCAAATAATTTAAATATGTACTACATCTATTACATAAAATATTTAGCAGTAAATTTAAATAAACCAATCGTAGAGCTTGATTTTAATACCTTAATTTAATTTAATTAATTTTAATTCCTTCTTGACTCTGCTTAATATTGAACGAGGCTCTTCTTAATATCAAACAATATTGATCTAAACGGTATACTCAACAATTATTAGGCGTTTGCAATTATAGTTTTAAAAAAAATTAATGTTTTACTTTGATTTAGATTATGGCGTTGATTAGATTTATTACTAAGTAAGTTTTTATGCTCTGCCAGCCTGATACACGTATTATTCAGGATTATATAGTGGTCAATATTTAAATATTAATAAGGCTGAAAATCCCTTGTATTAAATTACTAGTAAATTAAAAATAGTTTTTGTGTTTATTTTATGATTTATCAATTTAAAGAGGACGTTTCACTTGATTTTAGTGCACATGTTTTCATTGTTTCTTTTTAGAGCATATATATAACACATTAAAAATGTTTGTGGGGTTTCAGCCCCCCCTCCCCGCTCCCTCAATAAATTTGATCACCGATTTTGAAGTGAGTATTATTACATACCTATTATTAAGATATAGCTTTTTATTATGTGTTTGCATTATTTTAATAACATACAAATGATAATATACAATATATACCTACAGGCGTGTACCTAACATTACCGTAACCTAACCTAACATTATACATAATGTTACTCATATAAATACTTGCTGTAATGTAATTTATAAAATAATATATATAATTCAAATCAAACCGATAAATTGATACAAGATGGCTCTAAGTTGTCAAAATATCATTTTTTTTTTCTCTTGGAGTTTTAAATAAAGTAATTTTTGAAGTAAATTTATTTACAATATATCGCCGCCTAGGCATTTTGAACAAAAACTTCAAGGGAACTAGAATACTAGATCACGTTAGTATCCGGAATTTTATTTTAAGGGGGGGGGGTTAAAAATGTATAAACATCATACAGTAAAATAAAAAATAATACCTATAAAATTAAAATTAATTAAAAACATTTAGATGAAAGTGAACTCGATTCGGTATAAACAGTAAACAAACACAAAGCCACAATTATTATTGTGGTGGACTGTACACGTCTGTTACGAATATGTATTGATAAAATTATTTGCAGAAAAGCGTGTGACCGTAGCTCTGTGCCTCTCAGCGTTTGTTATCGATAAGTTTATAATTAGTATCTATGATTCCCTGTATTCGTTCTAACGTGGTAAAGTTTTGTCCATGAGCGATAAGACAAAATATAGATACAGATTACAAATTTAAAATCGCATTTAAGACCATTGTAACGACTCTCGTAGACTATAGAAATAATTTTGAGATTTTCTTAAAATTTCGAGGGAGCGACAGCCCACTCAGCGCCCCCCCTCATAAATACGCCACTATCTTAAAGTAAAACCCCGTCAACTCTGTACCCATTCGTTTCCGTTCGTGATATCTACCTCGTTATCAATTTAGCGTTATCAATTTTCTTACTCTGTTATCGTACCCAAATTCTATGGGACAAAAGTACAAAATACAAATATATCTATGCTGTAGTATTAAATATTTATGTCTCTGTGGTCATAGATCGACGAGATCTATGATGTCGGCACATCTTCAGAATACACGTCTACATATTTCATATTTAAGTATTTTCCATTTATCTGATTCCTACAGGTTACAGTAACCATATAGCGTTTTATCGGTTATCTACTATCTTTTAACAGTTTCTTTTCCCCCGCACGAGCAATTTTGTTTATTTTTCCAATGTAAATTAACTCGTTTAGTTAAGTAGTACCTGGGTACATAATTTTATTATAAAATGTATTTTACCGAAAAACTCATCACAGAGGTCCGAAAATACCCGTGTATTTGGGACCAGAACGCGGACGGGTACAAGGACAGTGACGTTAAAAATGTATGTTGGCTGAAAATAGCCGAAGCAATTTATTCTGATGACTGGGTTAATCTCGAATATACTGAAAGAAAAGAAAAGGGTATGCTCATAATAAAGTAATATTTATAGTAGCTATATTATGACAGAAGAAAAATTAATTTTTCAGATAAATAAAAAAAAAAAAACTTATTTGATTTAGGTACCTTTTAATTTTTGTTTAGTGTTCTTCTTTGTTTACATTTATATTTACTTTTATCGGTATTATAAGTAGGTATATAAATAACTCATAATAATAAAATTGCTAAAATTTATTTTTTATTTAGTTAGCGAATTAAAGAGTAAAAAGTGGAGACATATTCGTGATGGATATTTAAAATACATTACCGAAAAAAACAATGTACATAATGGATCGAAAATTACAAATAAGAAACCTCGAAAGAAACCATATACTCATGCTAAATTGTTGTCATTTTTAAATGTCATTTTAAAAAGAAAAAGGTAAGTAAATAAATGTGGTAAATAATTTTAATGGAAAAACTTTAAAATTTTCTTTTAAATATACATTATTTATAATACTAATTTATAATTAATAAATATACATTATTTATAATACTAATTTATAATTAATAAAAAAAAAAAAAAAAAAAATCATTTTTCTTTTAAGTAGGTAGGTAATTAATATGATGTGTATTGTTCAGTTTATTTTAACTATTAATAAAATTATTATTTAAAAAAAAAAATCTGTTCCATAATACACATCTTATTATTAATTAAAAATGTAATATTTTTAATTCGTAGAAGGACTAACTACGAAAAAGAAGATAACATTAAAGTTGTGGATCATTGTTCAAACAATACAGACAATGTTTGTGAGGCAGTACTAGAAGGTACTCATCTTCCTACTTCTAATCAAAGTACAAATCAAAATCCTTCTGAAGATTCCAATGAAAAATTTCGATTAATACCATTTCAAAATAATTTGATTGAACATTTCAAAAAAAAAGAAGAGTCAGAAACTTGGTCAGAATTTAATCCAGACCAAACTATAGTGATGTCCTTTCTTCCATACTTAAAAAAACTTAATGATGAAGAAAAACTAGATTTTCAATTAAATGGTCTCCAATATTTACAACAAATTATAAAAAGTCAAACACACATCACACAACAACCAAGCCCTCAGAATCATTGAATCATTCAAATGCTTGTTTTAGATCAGACAGATCATTCTCCGTCTAACCATTCTCACCGTTGTATTCATTGCCATTGGTTTTTAATATAGATATATAAATATATTTATTTGTCTATGGTTTTTAAAAACATGGTTTTTAAAGACTAGGTCTTATCGTTCTAATGAAATTTCTCTACTATGTGTCACATTTGTCAGGTGTTGGTATAAAGTATAAAACATTAGAATTGATTGACATTCTTGCAAGATGGTATCGTTACTTTTCCTCATTTTACAGCTCATCCTCGTTATTATACTTTACAACTAGATTTCCATCGTTTTCAACCTTACTTTTTCATACTTCTACTTCTTACTATTCACGTTTCACGCACATAAAACAATTTAATGGAGCTCTTCCTAGTTTTAATGTTTATGTTTTTAAGTAGAGTCGTCTTCTAATACTACCAGTTTCTTTGAATTCCTACTTGTTGCTTTTTATGACTAGGAAATTGTCTGTGGACTTATTCTAACACGAGACTACACTGGTAACATTTGTATTAACAGTGTTAAAATCTGATGAGACTATTATTATTATTTTCATCATTTTTAATTGCATAAATCATTGTTATAATTTATAAGTCATGCATATCTATCATATTTAAATATTTTTGTTATAATAAAATAAATGTATTTATTGTGTATATGTTAGTAAACATGAAGATATTAAATATAGGTAATATTGTATTCTGTAGATATTATTTATTTACATTAATGATAGTTACTGTCCAAATTCTATGATAATATCTTTTGACCTTTGTCAAATAATATTCTTATTAGTATATTTTTTGATGAAATAATTTTACCAAGTCTTGATATTACTATTTATTTTAATTTTAATGTCCAAGCCTCTTCCAAGATTTTTGGAATTTCCTTTATTAATTTTGGTATGATTTTTAATATGTAATAATTTTTTAAATAATGAAAAATATTTGGTAGTATTATTATCAAAATAACTTTTCTGAAATTTTTGAAAAAATATTAGAATACTTTTTTTCATTTTCTCAGCTATTATTTTTCACACAGCGAAAAATATTATACATAAATTGAAATTTTGGAATAATTTGTTTTTATGTGAAAAAAAAATTGAGTAGGTATTAATTGTTATCTAGTTAGATTGAAATTCAATAATGCCTAATTTAAAATTGAACTCGCGAGCCTTTTATTAATCTCGGATACCGATGAAACCATAGACATATTAACAATATTTAATAATATGTTGAGATCTACTGTATCATTTATTCGTCGCAATCAAAACTAGTTTTTTGTTCATAGATAATTTAAGAATGGTTAGGCCACTCTTGCATTAAAATAATATGGTCCCATGTTTCATAATGTGGATGGAAGACAAACTGCTAAATTAGTGTTCTCACTCCATTGAATTCTTCACTATAACTGGAATGCTTACCCGCCATAAGTAAGACCAATGTAAACAACCAAGATACAGTGTTTGAAAAAGATAGCAGATAAGAATGATGCTGCTATCTTTTTTTATAACACAATACATATTACTTATACAAATTTTGTTTATTTAACATTGTTTTCTAAGTTTTTAAAGTTTTAAAAAAATTAAAACAGTGAGCAGTTAAAATGGTGAAATTCTGTAGTGGTTTTAATTGTACCAGCTCAAATGACATTTGGAAAGACTTGTCATTTCACAAGTTAGTATAAAGTATTATATAGTGTTATTAATTTTACTCATAAAAGTATTTATATTTAATTGTATACTAATTATATTTTTTATTTTTTATAATACTATGGCTTAAGAACTCCGGCTATTAGAAATTATGCATGTTAAATACTTTTACATTTAATTTAGCTTGATTTTTTTATAATTAATAATTATTTTCATTTCAATACTAAGTACTGCTTATTTATGTTCTTAGATTTTTTTAAATTTATATATCATAATATAACATTATTAATTTGTGATGTATGCTTTTATTTTGATGGGCGCTAAGAGGTTGTATGAATGCTTTTAAATTTAATAAATCTACTATCATATTTCCCAAAGATTTGTATGTATAATATGGTTTAATTTTTTGCTAGTTTATTATAAATCAATTATTTTTATTAAAAGAACGTTATACCCACATCTACTGTTTCAGTCCAACTACCGGGTAACAAACAAAACCAATACTTACGCAGAATAAGTAAAACTAGCTTGATTTTGATTTTAGGGTAAAAGTACCTATTATGAAATTTATAAAGGAACAATATTTTGGAAGGAATATCATAAATGGTTTTTGAATTATGAACTATTAAAAAAGTTACAATTATTTAAAAAAATAAAATAAAATAAAGGTTTTTGTATCTTTTATATCAAGTTGTATATTTTGAATAATACAAAAACGTGTATGACATTCCCTTCAAAATATTGTTTTCTATACATTTTATAATAGATAATTTTACTCTAAAATCAAAATTAAACCCGGTTTACTTATTTTTTGTAAGTATTGGTTTTGCATGTTACCCAGTAGTTTAACTGAGACAGTAGATGCAGGTATAGTGTCTTCTTAATTTATAGTTTTATTGTCATTACAGGAAAAACATTAGCTGAAGTCAACTTAAGTTACTTATTTAACTCGACAGATCTTATAGCTCCAAGGTTATAACTATAGTTGAAGTATCTACAATCTCATAGTATTTATTTTAGGAAATTTTTGCTGTGAAGCATAACTAAATTGTATTGACGATTTTGTTTACTGGACCATTCTAATATTAATCTTTCCTAGATTATAAATTTACAACATTAAGTTAAATGAGAAAAGTAGTAAGTACACTACTTTCGATTATAAATACCATTGATTAAATATATTAATAGGTTTTCATATTTGTCCATGTCGTGGGCTATTTATGTATATTTAATCAAAGTAAATATTATGTTTTTATTTTAATAATTATTTTACTAAAAATAATGTTGTTGTTATGTTATATGCTTATAATTATGAATTAAAACATCCTAAATTACAATTTATAACTTAATTTATTCCCCTCAACTTCATACTTGTTATATTATAAATAGTATAATTATCTATATACTATTATATAAAATTGTAAGGGTTTTTCTTCGACCGCGCTAACCGAGAAAACTACTGGACCGATTTGGCTGAAATTTTTTTTGGCTGAAACCCAACACTCTGCTGAAGGTTATAGTACCACTTTTGTCAGTAAAAAAGTTCATAAAAGTTCATAAAAAATTAAAAACAATTGTACCTATATTGTGCGGCACGGCGGGTCGCGGGTTTACAGCTACCTGTAACTTGACCTTTTTTTTGTATCGTGTTTGATATCGGCGTTCCGAGAAGTATATCGCACTTACACCGACAACACGTATACCCAATATTCATATCTATACTATATTGTTATTATTATAACTTCGTTATATTAACTAATCATTTAGGCTAGGTTCACATGGACGATGGACGCGCGTGTTTAGATATACGGATTTCTCGATCGAGAACTACGCGTGACTCCGCGTATTGAATCCCATAAATCATTATCGGACCTTTCGGTTGACACGCGCGTTTCGACAACGAAACAGCGATTCATTGTGCAATTACATATTATAAAAATACTATACTATACTATAACTATTATCTATCTATCTATCTATTATCTATCTATACTATTATATAAAATTGTAAGGGGTTTTCTACGACCGCGCTAACCGAGAAAACCACCGTACCGATTTGGCTGAAATTTTTTACCGTTGAACCCGACACTCTACTGAAGGTTTTAGTACCACTTTTGTCAATAAAAAATAAGTATAAAGTTCTTGAAAAATTAAAAAATTGTCTACCCATATTATATACGTATTGTGCGGCACGGCGGCCCGCGGGTTTACAGCTACCCGCGACCTGACCTTTTTGTTCGTCAAATTGTATCGTGTTTGACATCGGCGTGTAGGTACGAATTGTTCCGAGAAGTTTATCGCACGCACACCAAACAACATGTATACCGAATATTCGTATTAATCTTTATCTATATCTTTATATATTTATATCTACAATAATTTCTCAATTCTCTTTCTCCTTCGGGATTTCCTCTCCATAAGCTAAAATTGAAAATTGGTACTCCGATTACATTATTACGTAATCTTCAACCACCGAAGTTATGTAACGGTACAAGATGACAAATAAAATCGTTGCAGAATAGTGTTATAGGAGCCGTCATTCTTACGGGGCCGGCAAAAGGAGAAATTGCATTTATTCCAAGAATTCCCGTGATTCCGTCGGACTTGCCGTTTCCGTTCAAACGGCTTTAATTCTCTGTTAAAGTTTCTTTGGCAATCACGATAAACAAAGCTCAAGGTCAAACATACAGGTACGTTGGCGTAGGTCTTCGAACACAGTGCTTTTCACATGGACAATTATACGTGAGATTTTCTCGAACTGGGGACCCGAAGCATCTTATGATTTTAATTTCAACAGGAGATAAAACAAAAAACGCCATATACTCAGAAGTTTTATAAAATTCTTTATCAACCGTAAATTACTCAGCATTTCTTTTGTATCTGCATTCATTTTTAGTAAAAATATATTTGTCATTAATCCCGCTTGAAACATTTCAATACGTTTTCATTAACCGTTTTTTTTTTTTTTATATTAATTTGCCGATATTATTAAACGATAGAATTTGATTAAAAAGTTCTATATATCATTATCCAAAGGCAAATTAAACAACCAATCACGGGTGAAGCCGTGACGGGTCGGCTAGTANTGTTGTATCCTATATCCGGTTGATGCCGGGTTCACCGTCAATTTTGGTTTCTTCCGTAAATGACGGCGGATACTCGTTTATTTGAGTTCGACTTTTGGGATTAATCAAACACTGAACTCATCCGTTTTGAAATAATAACTTATTGTTTATTATTATTTAAATTTATTTAAAAAGACATTTAATAGGTTCTACGTATAACTATACGGAATCGTTTTAACTCGACTGCCGTCGTCGTTCGCATTTCATGCGCTCGGCGACGGAAGACGTTACCAAAAAATAATATATTGCTTACTTAGTTAAATACAAACTATGTTTTAAACCAAGGGTTCTCAACAAACGTCATGTTTAAGACAAAGATAGTAACACCGTTAGTATGTGCTATCCCGTTATAACTTTTCTCAAAGGCGACAATACTTGGTGAGCATTCTAGTTATCATATAGAATTCAACGGGTGTTATAACAGCGCACACACGAACTAAACAGATAAACAACTCAATATAACAATGTAGATAATAGGCGGACTGATAAAATCTACAGCACTTAAATGGCTACCAGTTCTCAGTAACATTGCCCCCCTTCAAATCTAGAAATCCTCTGGAGAGAGAGAGAGAACAACCTCATGTGGAAATGGTGAAAATACTCCAGTAACCAAAACATCTAAATCCACACGAATCTACCCAAACCGGATGAAATACTACGATTGAATTCCCGAAACCCCCCATGGAAATCCACAAGGAAGCTCATCCAAAAAAAATTTGATGTAAATCACAGATGGAATGAACATTGGACGTCAGAAAACCCCGATGTGCATAATCAAGTAACTAACAAACAATTGGGATCTGAGTTAACAAGGAAAATTTAGACTATACCATATTAGGACAGGCCATGGTAGAAATAATGGTAACAAGATGTTTGGATGGGGACTGCGTGATTCTGAGTCATGTGGACACGCATCACATACGATCAGTCATATCATAATAAAATTAACGATTGCCTACTACGAGCATTCACCAGTTCCATACACGATACCTATTTATCAAGTTAAAAAAGAAGCGATAACTTGAATGGAGAACCCGGATATTGTATTACAACTATCACTTTTTTTTTTATGCTATAACTGCCAATTTTTTTTTTCTTTTTACTTATTTTATCATCAATTTATTAATTAATGTATCTAGTTTGTAAGATAAAATGTGTTGCTCATATAATACCATACGAAATAATTATAATAACAGATCTGCACTTATTCTTGGCTTCGTAACCATTTCATCAAGCCAAAGGACTTTATTTACATTTATTTAGATCTATCATCGGTACATCTTTATGCATGGCCAATTTAATCGATTCTAATGAGTACATTTTAGCATAAAGTGTATAAAGCGCAATAATAATTTTGCTATATATCGGTTTATATTATTAAATTACGACAAGTACCGGTATTTAATACAATATGTCGATATTTTAATTGTCGACGTTTCGTACCATACCCGAAATTAAATACATTACATCTACACATTTTAGGTGTGCTAAAAAAATTCATAGGATGCATTTGCATCCCATAAATGACGTCTCTGACGTCTAATGGTTCCTCAATGCAAATAAAACATGTATTAATAATTGATATTCAATTTTGGATTCTAAGTAGAGCGAACTATTTTAGCGTTTTACTATGTGTATTTTTTTTTTTTTTTTACATTCAGAGCGTGGAGATCTATTGGTTTTATTATAATGTGGGCCTTTTTAAAAATGTATTTTTAGATTGGTAATATCCCATGTATTGCATTTATATTCAAGAGCGGACTGGCCTGCTGGGGCGAAAATTTCCGGGTAAGCCGGTGCCTACTATGACTATGTGGCAAAAATTAAAAATAAATTTAAACAATTCAATTTTTAATACGTTTGTTTAAGCCATTTTTATTATTATAATTTATAATCTCTATAAAGTTATTGTGTTCATATTTTCATAATAATATTATGATGGGCACATGAATGGAAAATTGATTTTACAGTCAAAGATAATATTGTAATGATATAAAATCGTTTTTCCATCTTATCGGCTCGTGACGTGTATGTATTTTTACAGAATCTGAACTTCGATACAAGTTAATCAGGGTTGTTTAATTATCCAAAAATCCTCATGTTCGTCGTTACGAAAGGATGACCTCGTTTAGAGCATAATATAATATGTGTAATATTTGGTCGGAAACCTGAAAAATAGACTTTTCTCTGAAAAATCTTGGGCGGAGACTGAAGGTCGACGACCCTCACTTGGAATTACTCGGTTTGAGTTTTTCGTACCTATTCGGTATGTCGATTTTCAGAAAAATATAATCTTACATAATCGCAAAACAACGGTTTCCAAGGATAGGAAAATAGTTTTATCGTGTCTAAAAATAAATTTCTTAGGAATAATAAAATTACGTATTATTGCAGATTATTGGTTTCTAAAAATAGAATACTTAGAATGCATTACATAATTTCAAAACAACAATTTCTGAAAATAGATTGTTGGAATCGAATATATGTGGGCACTAGGACACATAAATAACTTCTCGGAAAAGTTCACCGCGGCCATCGACCCTGACTTATGGCCTACGGAGGGTGTACCACCCCGTGGCAGTATTATCCAACAACCGTGACCGGGAACCGATCCACGTAGCTACCTACAATAATATTACCATCGATTAATCAATGATATTTCTACACTGAAATACAAACTATTGCTATGGAAAATTCGTTCCTTTCTTATTAATGCATTGTGAATTGAAATATTTTAGGGATCTAGACGAATATTAAATTCGGGGGCGTCTCCAAACCTTCACTATGGGGACGGGCAGGCGAAATAATTAAATTTAATATCAATGATTGATAAGAAAAAAAGACTGACATACTTCGCACGGACTTTATTTCAGTTTTTTAGATATATTTTGTACGAATATCTAATTGCTTATTTATTTATTTTTGTTTATTCAAGGGTTACCTTGGTGTTACGGAAAAGAAAACTAAAATAATTATTATTGTTACAATTATTTACACTATTAAAATTTCACAATAGAACACGTTAAGTCCGCCGAAGGTGGACTATCCACTTTCCACCTATTTGTTTTCATTAAATTCTAACACGGTCAGAACCAAAAATTAATATGAGTAAAATAATAAAAATTGGCACGAGTAACGCCGGGCGTGGGACAGCTATAGGATATAAAGTATATGTCATAT